AGTAGAGTTTTAAAGGACAGTCAACGCGTAGGTGTAGTAGAGTTTAACAGCAGGTGTACAAACGTAGATGCAGTAGAATTTTGCAGCTTGTGTACAAACGTAGATGCAGTAGAGTTTTACAGTTTGTGTACAAACGTAGATGCAGTAGAGTGCGCATACTGTGAGATGTATAGGTCTTTTTATGTTTTGGGGACATATATAAGAACTCCACCACTTCAAGTCCATTAATGCACATAATTTGATGTGATAACAGAAAGATGGGCTTACACAAAGATGTGATTACACAAAGACGTGATTACACAAAGATGTGATTACACAAAGACGTGATTACACAAAGATGTGATTACACAAAGGCGTGATTACACAAAGATGTGGTTACACAACTATGAGATTTTACAAGGATCTGATTACAAAAAGATATGATTATACCAAAAGTGAGTCAATTATGTTCCTCTTCAGCGGTCACTGAATTACATCATCGCTTAACATTTCAACATTATCAGTCCCACAGACCGTCACGTTTGAGAGGAATTTTTACCTTTTATTCAAAGAACCGAAGTGAAGTTTTTAAAATAACGAATGAGACCACAAATAACTCTAAGAACCCAAAGTAAAGTATTTAAAACAACGGAAATGTATCATTATATAAAATAAAAAACAGTTCTTAAGTTTTATATTGATTTTTTATGTTAAAATTTGTTTTTTTTTTCTTGTTAAAAATAACAGTTTTAATTTTTAAATGGGCGATTTAGACGTAGAATTATAGTCATAATCGATTTTTTCGATGTCTATCATGAGATCCTGTCTGTGACGATTACCTGTGTGAAATCGATGGGACGATTACCTGTGTGAAATCAATTGCACGATTACCTCGGTTAAACCCAACTTCTGCCCCCAAAAAATAATTTCTTTGCTGAAAATTTCTAAGGAAACGAAATAATTGTAGGACCACTAAAGATGAACTCAACTGAGTCAGCTTGCACTAAAACAATTCTCATTTTTGTGTCTAATGGATTGAATTATAGGGCCTTTAAACAAATTATTAGAACAGTTATAAAAAAAAAAATTATTATGATTCAAGATCGATTTTAAAAAAAAATTCGGTTGAGTAGTTGGGTCTATTTCGTCACCGAGATTTATAAATAGTTTCACGGCAAAAAAATATAGTTTAAAGCACGCAAATCGTCACAACATTAGGTCAATTAGCTGCCTATTACGTGGGGAAAGTCTCGGTTTAAATAAAAAAAAATCCCTTTTGTTTTACGCTTTCAGTGTGAGTCGTGTTTAAAGAGAAGGACCCCGGGGCTATCACGTACTCACTCTATACCCACTCAAGCGTGACGGAAGGATTTTTTGTGTTGCTTTTATTATGCGTCTGCTGCAAGGTTTTGTGGTGAGTCGAGGGCGGGACGAGGGGACGAGGGGAGAGGTAGATGTCGTCTGCGGGGTAAGGTTTTGTGGTGAGTCGAGGGCGGGACGAGGGGAGAGGTAGATGTCGTCTGCGGGGTACGGTTTTTGAGACGCTGTGGTCTGTCGGGTGGACGAGTGCTTATGTGGTCTTTGAGGGCACTGGTGGGGGTGGGGGGGGGGTGCTGGATATTTATATACATACACGTGGCGAATTAGTCATATAGCTTGTCTGTATATATATATATATATATATATATATATATATATATATATATATATATATATATATATATATATATATATATATATATGTATATGTAAACTAGTACATATTTGTTTGAGTCTGTATGATTACGAGTAACTATTTTGTGTGTGCTTGTGTGTATCATCCTTTTTTCCCGTTTGTGCCAAAGACACATGGGGCAGATGAAGTAGAGTTAATCTGTTTTAATGACGGCAGCATACAAGGGGCTTAAGTGGTCATCACTGTGCCCAGACGCCATTGTTTCCCTAACGTGAGTTAGGTACCCATCAGAGCTATATGGACCCATGGACGTTCTACTTATTTGAACCCGGATTCGAACTCGAAACTTTTGTGTTACCAGTCTAGCTCTCTACCGCTAGGCTTGCCACGTTTACGGGGACAGCAGTGTGACTTGTAAAGCCCTCCTACATGTGCCCTCGATGATTTAACAAACGACTAAATACGCGGGAACTTGGTCTTAGGGCAACAATGTCCGTGTCTACGCCCCTGATTAGATGACCTGATTAGATGACCTGAACACGCCTCTGTCGACAAAGATGTAAGGACATGACGTTAATCCTTACGTCCGCGTTGATCAACCCTATCAGACAAAACCTTAAGCCTAAACGTTAGCCGCACGTCCCATCAACCACACCCCGACCCCACCCTTACTTCTATACACAAATATTACGGGTAATGGGTTGTCTTGTAAAAAAAAAAGAAAATTAAATTTTTAAAAATGTGAATAAAAATCTCTAGACAAAAAGTAGTTATTGAAGCCAAAAAAAATAATTTTAATAATTCGTTAAATTGAACTTAGTGTACTGATTTTAATTTAGAGATTTTAAGATTATTTCCAAAAAAAAGAATTATAAAAAAAAAAGAAGAAATTAGCACTCAGATGCTATCTATATAAAATACAAAAACCCTCCATTTCCACTGGTAAAAAAATTAATTAAGCACCCAACGTTTACAAAATATTGACATTGAGCCGAATCTAAACCGTCTCCACGCACCGACACACTTGGCTAAAGTCCTGTCCGTGAATTCTTTCTCTTCACCTCGCCCACACGGGGTTCAACCAAGCGCGACGGCTCTGCCTGGCGCATGTTATTCCAAGGAGCGCCTCCTCCCCCACACAACCACACACGCACGCATCTTTAACCACGGGCCCCGGATTACCCCCCACACAAAGCGCCCCACACAAAGTGCCCTCACACAAAGCTCCCCCCCCCCACTCCTGCTGAGTCGGGGTATTGTGCCGGGGTATCTGCCTTATCGAGGTTTACTTTTATCCACGGTTCGCGCATGTCCCGTGTCACCGTGACATTTATTTGAAGTACTCACCAGCTGGGGAGGTTCACATGCATGTTGGGTGAGCTTGCAGACGGCTGGGAAAATGCAGGGGTTAAATACTATTAATTTAGAACAGACGCATTTTTAGAAAGCCAGAATGTTAAAAGCGGTTATGGAGTTTAGTTCGAGGAAAAATAATGATTTTACTTGTTTTTATTCCATTGCAGAAATAACTTCCCAATTCTCTAATTTCTTTAATAACTTATAATTTTCTTTTAAATTAACAGTTATACATTATATATATATATATAGTGAAAGTGTTTATATAACTGTATCTATAAAAGTATTATTAAAAGCATGTCTATACATATATGGAGTGGACAAATGGTAGAGCGTTTGACTGCTAACCAGAAAGTCTTGAGTTCGAATCTGTGTTCAAGACATAGAACGTCCCTGAGTCCACCCAGCTCTGATCATTACCTGTCACGTTAGGGAAATCAAAGAAAGCTGTGCATAGTACTGTCTCTGATATTATTTCATTTGCCGAGGTCACATAAATAGGTCTACTCTAATTGATTTACCTCATGGACCGGCAGGTTCGAATGGGGACCTTACTGTATGCAAATACACATATCTATACGCTTAAGGATTTATATAAAACTAGCAATGAGTATTTCACCATTGAGTAAGATAATTTTTTAAGCTTTAGTCTTGACTGTATCGACACTGTTGATTAAACTGCTATCACCTAATGATTGACTTGATTTCTGTTTACGTTTTTCTTCTATATTTAGTGTTATTGTTTTCGTAACCTAGTATCATTATCAATGCAGTTTAACTATTTTCTTGAGATGAAACAGCTCTTATGGAGAAAATATTTATAGATTGGACCATCATGTTGTGAGTTTTGTTATGGATTGCTTCTTTTTTGACATCGCACATCAACTAACCTTTAACCCCGCTAAGAGATTTGGCAAATTTTTAACCCCATTGCTATGACATGCTCTCTAAACGGTATCTGATTGATGGTAATAGCTTGAGTGACCAGTGGTCAGTTAAGTGGCCTCATCATCTCTCAACGATGTCGACCATTGTCCGTGTCAGGCAGATTGGCCACTGGTCAGCGACCGATAACAGCGACGGTCGAGGGCTGACGTGGTTCAAACATTGGGGCCATTGTTAGCTGAATGGTTGAGAACCGCTGTGTTAAGTTGACCGAATGGTTCTGCTAAACGATCACTTGATGCGGGGACGATCTCTGGCGAAAGTTGACCGTTTGGATAGTTATTTTCGTGTGAACTATGTGAAATGAAATCTCAACACTCATTCTTCATTCTTGCTTAATAAGTCTCTAGTATAGTTAGTGACGTTTTACGAACAAAGAAGAAAAATATGCTTAACTGTGATTACTGTAACATGTTTAAGTCATGGGTATACATGCATGATCAATCACAGGAGCATGGAATCTTTATTATAAACCAGAGGCGTAGCGAGGGGGGCAGGGGTACATATGTCCCCGGGCGCCGACCCTAGAGGGCGCCAAAATGAGTTGAAAAAAAAATTAAAAGGTTATTTTAGCTGCAGTTTTGCATTATAAATATAAAAAAATATATGAAATATATAGGGGGGGGGGCGCCAAATTGAAAGTTTGTCATCGGGGGGGGGGGGGGGAGGGGCGAATTGAATGTTTGTCCCCGGGCGCCGGAGAGGGTCGCTACTCCTCTGTTATAAACTAACAAACAGATGTGTACGCGCTTTCACAGAAACTTAATTTGAAAATAAAATAATGCTCCGTCAACAACTTGAAAATAGATACTATTTTAAAATAAAGGCACACGAACCTAAAGAAGTTTTCGATATATTTGTAAAGTAACGCCACATGTTTATTAATAAAAGATATTTAATAGTAGAACATAAAAATACATCAATGCATGTAGATACAGCTTTGAGATAGATCAAATTGTACAGAAGAATTAAGTACATGACTATCTGAAAAAATTGATTGAAAAAACTAAAAAAAAACTTTTTTTTTTAAAATTAACCTCTAAAGTTTGCCTAACCGAAAACGTCATTTATATTCGATTTGTTTATAAACATGAATAGATTTTACTATCACCCAATCAGAACAGCTAATACATTTCCTCTAGGCGTGTCTTGCTGTCATCTCCAGCTGGATTGGTTGATCTACCACGATGATTCCTTGGAACGACATTTTTGGCGTCTCCCCTTTCTTTGGCTCTGTTCTCTGGTTAAGCTCCACCTTTAATTTTCTCAACACTTGAACTAAGCCCAGTTTAAGCTCTAACATGGCCAACCGCTGACCAATACACAAGCGAGGGCCAGCTCCGAAAGGTATATAGGTCATGGGATCTCTGGGTAATGAATTTTCTTCGGAGAATCTATCGGGGTCGTATTTTTCTGGGTCGGGGTAGTTTTTAGGGTCAAGCATGATACCGTCCAGCATGGCGATGACCCATGTCCCTTTTGGGATGGTCACTTTGCCGTAGGTGCAGGTGGTGAGTGCCTTGCGAGTGGTCAGGGGGAGGGGCGGGTACAACCGTAAGGTTTCTTGGAGCACCTGCTCGAGATAGCGGAGCTGTGACAGCTCCTCGTAGGTCGGCTTGTCCGAGTGGATCACATTCACAATCTCTTGGTAGACTTTTTCCTAAACATTTCATTGAAAAAAATTAATAACCTATTTGGCACAAGCGGCTTAATATACATTTAAAACCAAGTCTATAAATTACATTAAGAACAAACATAAAGTCGTAAGAAAATATCATTTACATTTTAAAATGTTTTTGTCGATCATTCAGTTTTTAAAGACTTCTAAATGAGAACGGTACATTTTCTTCATATGTACGTTTTAAAGCAGTAGATAGTGTAGGATTCATTAATGTACAAACGATAATATTCATTTTTTTTTAAAAATCGCCCTCTTTAATAGTAAGCAAGGACAACATGAGGATTACTATAAAATTGTTGAAAATACTTACTTAAATTAAGGATAGTTTATTGATATATTTATCCAGATTCTAAAATAGCTATTGTAAGCGTCATTGGTCGTCATGAACACCACCATACTATTAACAGCATACAATGTAAAATTTCCAAGTACAGAAATGTGTAAACAGACGTATGACATTACCTGAATATTTGGGTGCTGGGCCAGTAGATACAGGCACATCTGTAGTGTGGTCGATGTGGTTTCGAACCCAGCGAAGATGATGACCTGTGACTGACCGAGTAGCTCATCATCTGACATGGTTTTTGGTAGCTTGTCCCACGTCACGCCTTCAGTCGAACCTTTGGAAATTAGGTCGGAAGGTTTTTTTAACAAAACTTTCTAGTAATAACTTGAAATAGATATAACTTTCTAGTAAAGAATCAAGATAGGTTAAACCCTATAGTAACGATTCTAAACGGTTCAGAAGGCCTAAGAATCTGTCAAATTTTAAAGTAAAACTAATTTGGACACCACCACGACTCAAGCCGACTATATTATCATCCTCCCGCGCCCTCCCTCGATCTCCAGGCATGTGCCATAGACCATATCGCAATCACCCCCACAGACTGGTGAGCTATGTTTCACGCTGAATGTTTACAATTGTAGAGCGGGTCGAATTAGTAACGGCTATTAGGGGCAGATAATTTAGTTTTCAAAACTATTTGAAACTAAGGGGAGATAACAAGCTCTGATTGATCTTTTCATAGTTATCTGTAAACTATCGGAAACGACGGCTGTTTTTCACAGGGGGTGTGGGGGGGGGGGGGGTAGTATCTCCTTCCTCCCCATACTGAAAAGTAGAAAATAAAACACACAAAAAACGGCGTATGCCACGCCACGGTCGTTTCGTATGTAATAATATACATCTGTATAACAGTAAAACAGTTATTGGCTTTAATATACCCTCTCGACTTACCATAAATTACAAATACAACACAACTCCACTTACTAACAAAAAACAACTCTACCTACCAACACAAGACAACACCTACCAAACAAAGACAACTCAACCTACCAACAAAAGACAACTCAACCTACCAACAAAAGACAACACCACCTACCAACAAAAGACGCCGCCTCCTTGTCCCCAGCTTTCTTGGCGTTGATCAAACTCTGCAAGAGATCTGCTGGAGTCTTCTGGCCGTTACGCTCCATCGCCTCTCGTTCTGCAATGGTCCTGTGTAGTACAGATCTGAAGTAACTGTCAGCATCTATACTTGCCGCGTCCAACGGTTCGATACCTAGAGTCTGGACGGTTCAGATTTAAAGGTTAACGCGTCTTTATTTTTGTATTGTAAGTTTACAATACTATGCCAAAGTGCGATCTGGGCCCAAAAAAAAATTTCAATTTGTTGAGAGTTTTAATAACACGATTACAAATACTTGAATTGTCACGATTAGATGTAACTACAGTAGTATAACAGATTACTAGTTATTTACTAGAATACCAAAAGAATACACACAATAAAACTCATTAAGAAGAATACAACAAATGTTTTAGAGAATGCTGACTCAATTGCTTCACCATTTAGCTGTTATTAAGTGAATTTGAAAATATATTCTCTACTCCTTACCCCCTTTCTCGTCTTATATGGACCTAGAATTGCACATAATTAAATGGTGTTAAACAAATTTTTATTTCATTTTTTTAGATAAACTAGAAATGGTGTGGTCTAGAGGTAGAGAGCTAGACAGCTAACCCGAAAGTCTCAAGTTCTCATCGGGGCTCAAGTCAGAATAAATCCCTGAGTCCACCCAGCTCTGAAGCGAACTAACTCATGATAGAGAAAATAAACACGGCGGCTGGGCATAGTGCTGACCACAATCCCTTCAAATACCGAGATCACAGAAACAAGCAAACTCTACTAATCTTGCTCTCATGAGGTTCGAAAAAGAATCTTTCTTTTCATTCTACACTACTGGTAACAAATTTTCGAATGTTATCACCCACCTATGTGTGTAAAAACCTGTTTGTGATTGACGACATCTTCTCAACCCACTTTAAACACAACTGAACAGAAAATCAGGTTTCAACCATGTAGTCTACCTGAACGAGGAACTTGTGAACCCCGGGGAACCACAAGAAGACCAGCATCACCATGTTCATCGCCTTACTCCTCAACTTGATGATGCTCTTGGAGAAGCGGGTGAACTCGTCGTCCTCCTTCCCCAGACAGTCGGTGACCAGACCAAAGGCGGACCTGGCGATGATCTCACTCGTGTACTGGCCCGTCAGGTGCTTGATGGGGGCCAGTTCTTTCTTCACGGCCAGCTTCTCTAGGACGGCGGTCAGCTTCTGTGCCGACTCGTTGATGGGGGCGGTCATTTGTTTTAGCTTACCCGAACTGGATGAAAGATAGAAACAAAAACATTGATAGTTATGTCTAGTTGAGCATACACATGAAAAGAACAAACAAACTAAACCTGGTGGTATCAAAGATTTTTTTTTAATGTAAAAAATGTTTATTTTCATAAATGACAGGAGGGCACTTTTAAAGTTACAGTTTATAGCCAGGAATTGATCAGTAGTGTAAGGTCCCAAGACGCGGGATACTTGTCTTGTCGCTTCAGGAAATACAAGAAATACAAACTACTAAATGTATTCAAATTAAATTATTATGTTAACCATAGATTGGGGTTTCGAAACCGATGTTGTTGTAAATTATTTGTATCCCCTCACCCCCCCCCCCCCCCCCCCCCCCCGTCGTTGGTTCTTTGTTGGTCAGGCCCCGCACGCTTTTCTTATCGATAGAAGAGTATTGTCAATACTTGTGTATGGAAATTACGGAAAGTAACTTACCTAAATGACGGCGTGACAATGTGACGGACACGCCTCCAGTCATGGCCGTTTAGGAAGAAGACGCCTTTGTCTAGGAGAGTTCTGGTGATGACCCCCACAGCCCGGTCAGTAAAGTTGTTGAAGTCTTTGACCAGGACGTGACGTAGTATGTCCAGGTCCCGCGTGATGAGGATGTTGTCGCCCCCCACCACCCCCACGGTGTCGCCATGCTCGTCGATCACCTGTCTACACGCCGCTCTGTGAGAGGAGACAGGTAAAGCTGTCTTACATAGATGTCTTACAAGATTGTCTTACAAGACCATATTTCACGACTGTTTTACACGTCTGTCCTACACGACTCTTACAAATATCTGTCTTACACGACTGTCTTACACGACTCTAATACATATCTGTCCTACACGACTGTCTTACCTGTCAATTTCACCAGTACATGTCTTTGCTACACTACTTTCTTACATAACTGTCTAGCACATTCAAGACAACTTACGTACACGACTGTTTTATTTTTGCATGACTTTAACACAAATTCACGGCTTGCTTATACACGACTGTCTTACAGTACTCAGTTGTCATTCATATTTTTATCGTTTCGTTTTATAATTTGCTTTTTATCGTTCAATGGAGGGCTTATTTGCAAATGTAATTCTAGTATAATGCACCAACTATCACTCACCTGATATCTTCTGAGAATTCACGTATGAACACATTAGCAAAATTAAAACCGCAAAACGCAAAATACACTGCAAAACTAAATGACGTCGACAGTTCAAAATCACCTGAAGTCCGTGAACGCCTGTGACCCTAGCTTGACCTCCTTGACCCCATGTTGCTCCCAGGAAAATGTCTTCCTCAGCTTGAAGTAGATGAGAGTGAGTACGATGATGAGCACAGCCACGGTATAGGTGAGTACATTTTGGTCCATGGTCATACAGGATGCAATAGCTGTCAGTAACTTGAGAACTTTCTGAAAGCGAGGGCACACTATGTAAATATAACATTACCTTTTTCGGATCTAATGTTAAGTTATCGTGAGAACTCAATAAAATCTTATAGTAAGATTTGCAGGCATTGAACAGCAGACACTAGAACAATACTATCAACACTATATGTATGTATACTATTAATAATTTATTAAACGTAACCCTATATTAGAAAAAAAAGTATTCTAAATAAACATAAGCTCTATCTTAAAAAGTTATATACATTCTCTACCAACCCAAGTAAAACCACAATGTTCCGAGTGAAAGTTACACTACACACTGAGTTGGACCTGGTCTGTGGCAGGCTTTTATTGTGTCATCATTCGTACTATTCCACAGTTGTTGTTGTTGTTTTTTTTTAAAGTGGGTCATATAACACATGGTCGTTAAAAACAACAGCGTTGACTGGAGTTTCCAGCGATATCTCCTGTTATACAGCTGTGTTAAGGTTTAAATGTAACTTATCGCATTATTACTGTAAAAAACCGCAGACTACATTTTTATCTTTGTTGGTTTGATTTATGAATAAGTGGTCGATATGCGTACTTACACAGCTGGCAATAAAACAATAATGACAACACAGTTTTCAAGTATATATGCGAATGATGCAATAAGCATCTATTATTGGGCGATCCAGTCAGAAATTGAGATCGAGCATCTAATAATAGACCATTAGTAACGCTAGCATGTTGCATCAGTCACACTGATGTTTAAAACACGTCAAATAATTTTTTTACGTGTTAAAGAAAAAAAATCCTGTTCATTTGTGTCACTTTAGCAAATGACGAAATATGCACCTTGTTTACAGGATGCTATTTGGCACTCTGGGTTATCCTATGAGCACGATGTCGCCTGTTAGTGCTGTATAAAATCTAAGCCTACCACATTCTTAGTCAAACTGTAAAACATACTATCAACCAGAAAATCTAAAGATCTGTTGACGTCCACCCACTTCTGACGGGTACCTGACTCTAGTCCAACCAGCTCTGATGGGTACCTGACTCTAGTCCACCCTGCTCTGATGGGTACCTGACTCTAGTCCGCCCAGCTCTGAGGGGTACCTGACTCTAGTCCACCCAGCTTTGATGGGTACCTGACTCTAGTCCACCTAGCTCTGATGGGTACCTGACTCTAGTCTACCTAGCATTGATGGGTATCTGACACAAATTATGCGGTTGGACGAAGTGCTGGTAACACTATCCTTCATATGCCGAGGTCACAGAAACAGGTGAACTCTACTTCACTTGCAGCATATACTGTTTTGAAAGAGAACTTAACTTATTACGACATTCAACAGAGAGTACAATTAAGCCTTGACATAAAAATACCAGATTGTAGACTTTTACTATGGGAAAAGGATGTTTGGATTTGAGGCTCCAATTATATATATATATATATATATATATATATATATATATATATATATATATATATATATATATATATATAAATATATATATATATATATATTACATGCAGCGGTCTGTTGTGGATATCCATTATTTATTTTCTAGAGTTTTTATCCAGATATATATATATACATACATACATACATATATATATATATATATATATATATATATATATATATATATATATATATCTGGATAAAAACTCTAGAAAATAAATAATGGATATCCACAACAGACCGCTGCATGTTATGTGCCAAATGTAACAAGAGAATCAAACTGTACAAGTGGAACAAATCCTATTGACGTTTTAATTTTTTTCGTTTCAATGCTTGAAGAAGTTGCTTTCATATGAGCAGATCATTCTTGGTAAATATTACTTTAAAAACTCGGAACTTAATAAAACACAATGATTGTATACTCACAATGTATCAAATATCAGAATATTAATCTTTTTATAATATATCAAATTGAATAATACTTTGTGTATTTGACATTGCTTTATTAATTAATTAAAAATGAAATTATAAAGTGCTAAAAAGGCTATTGTAAAAGATTAAGTGGATTTCTACAATATTTATTCGATATTGCAATAATCAAAATTAAAACTGTTTAAAAATTAATTAAAAATGGATGCTATTTCAAAGTATAAACAAACATAAACATATAGTGGTTTTAAGCATACATGTCAAGTAACTTGCTTGTTTTGTATTTTAAAAGATGTTTAACTGGAATATAAAAAAAACATAGCCCTACGTAAAACTAAAATACAGCTGACTATAGTGATGCTTGTTTCAATGAAACTAATTTTATGGGTTTTTCTTTTTTTTAGCCTACCTCAATTGTTTTCCTAAAAAGGAGGTAATTTTACTAGTTTGTTTACAAACATTGTCACATGTTTATTATCAACCAATCACAACAGGTTATACATTTTCTCTAGTCCTCTCTGGCTGTCAGCTCCAACTGGATTGGTTTATCTACCACAATTATTCCTTGATAAGACATCTTGGGCGTTTCCCCCTTCTTCGGCTCTGTTCTCTGGTTAAGCTCTACTTTTAATTTTCTCAACACTTGAACTAAGCCCAGTTTAAGCTCTAACATGGCCAACCGCTGACCGATACATAGGCGAGGTCCCCATCCAAATGGTAACCAGGTCATGGGATCTCGTGCGGAAGAATTTTCTTCAGAGAATCTATCGGGATCAAATTTTTCCGGGTCGGGGTAGTTTTTAGGGTCAAGCATGACACCGTCCAGCACGGCGATGACCCATGCCCCTTTTGGGATGGTCACTGCGCCGTAGGTGCAAGTATTGAGGGCCTTGCGTGTGATGAGGGGGAGGGGCGGGTACAGCCGTAAGGTTTCTTGGAGCACCTGCTCCAGGTAGCGGAGCTGTGACAGCTCCTCGTAGGTCGGCTTGCCCGAGTGGATCACATTCACAATCTCCTGGTAGGCTTTCTCCTGAAACGTTTCATTTAAATGTGTAAATATTTTTAAATAGTTGACACAAGCAACATATTATTCATGTGAAAAAGCTTTCAGTAACTTCAATTAAAAGGTGAAAATATTGTTTAATTAAAAGCTGAAATTATTTGAATTTTTTATTATTTCAACTTTCAGTCTAGTAATTAATTTATAAGAGCCGACCCGCGGCGTGAAGCCGCTATTTAGTTGTTTTATTATCTACTTTTCAGTAATTTATAATTTATAAATTCGACAGTACCAATGCTGCCACTGAAAATATTTGCTTTAAAACACTACCCCCCCCTTTCCCCCAACCCCTACCCTATACCCCCCCCCCCGTGAAAGCAGCCTCCTCTTAGTTACCTACCCTAAGTTTAAAATCGTTTCAAAATAAAGTATCTGCCCCTAATAGCCGTCACTAAACCCAGCTCCACGAATGTAAACATTTAGAGTGAACCACAGCTCACCAGACCATCTAGGGGTGGGGTGGTAGTGATAGAGAGGAAGAGAGGGGAATGCAAGGCGCGCTTGCAGCTTGTTTTCTAACATCTCCCAGAAGAGAATTATATATAGATCTATAGATAGATTTTCAACTTCAGTATTTTTCCTAAAATTCAAAACTTTATAGCGTCAAATTGTAAATGGTATATTATTCTGTTCTGGATAACACATATTTAAGACTTTCTTTTGAATAGAAAGCCGAAATTCAATTTCTTCAATTGATTGTAAGAGATAATTATAGCTAAAATAAACTTCATTTAAATTTTTGCCTGTTAAGAAAGGATTAGGCATTGGTGTTATATTTAACAATTAATTAACCCAAAATATCTTTTGTCGATACGTTTATTTTTTAACGTGTAACATTTCAATTAAGACTTGCTGACAAAATCGGTATTTAAACGTGATAGTTGTTATAAACGTCAATGGTCATCACGAAAAATAAAGTAGCTGTATGTTATTGTATCATGTTAACTTTTACCTGGATGTCTGGGTGCTGGGCCAGTAGATACAGGCACATCTGTAATGTGGTCGACGTGGTTTCGAACCCAGCGAAGATGATGAGGATGGACTGGCCGAGTAGCTCGTCATCTGACATGGTTTTTGGTAGCTTGTCCCACGTGACTCCTTCAGTCGAACCTTCAGGAAATAATTTGGACAATTTTTAGTAAAGTCTCAATATCGTTTGAATTTGTTCATAACATATAAAGAATAATGAACATTCAAACAACACATCAACAGAAAGTCGAACTTTTTAACAAAGCAACATAATAACGTCGCACATTGAAACAAGGTTTTTGTAAGTTGGATATTTACAAAATAGGTAAATAAAATTAATACCGTAACTAAACCATCAAGAAGCTCTAAAGTTCTGTCATTTTCAGTAAAACTATAGGTATATTAGAATATCGACTTTTGCGACTAGAACATGCAACAGTACCAACCGTTACAAATACTGATCTTTCGAACAGAAATAGTTTATTGCTCCAATACATACACCCACTTCCATCTTTATTAAAATGGCAAATAGTTAATCGCTTTAAACTCAACCCCCTCCCAACATTTCAAATAAAGAAAAACTCCACCTACAAACAAAAGACAACTCCGCGTACGAGCAAAACACAACTCAACCTACCAACAAAATACAACTTCACCTACCAACAAAATACAACTTCACCTACCAACTAAATACAACTCAACCTACCAACAAAATACAACTTCACCTACCAACAAAATACAACTTCACCTACCAACAAAACACAACTCAACCTACCAACAAAATACAACTTCACCTACCAACAAAATACAACTTCACCTACCAACAAAATACAACTTCACCTACCAACAAAACACAACTCAACCTACCAACAAAATACAACTTCACCTACCAACAAAATACAACTTCACCTACCAACAAAATACAACTCCACCTATCAACTAAATACAACTTCACCTACCAACAAAATACAACTCCACCTACCAACTAAATACAACTTCACCTACTAACAAAAAACAACAACTTCACCTACCAACAAAACACAACACCACCTACCAACAAAAGACAACACCACCTACCAACAAAAGACAACACCACCTACCAACACAAAACAACACCTACGAAACAAAGACAACTCCACCTACCAACAAAAGACGCCGCCTCCTTGTCCCCAGCTTTCTTGGCGTTGATCAAACTCTGCAAGAGATCTGCTGGAGTCTTCTGGCCGTTACGCTCCATCGCCTCACGTTCTGCAATGGTCCTGTGCAGCACAGATCTGAAGTAACTGTCGGCCTCAAAGTTGGCCTGATCGAACGGTTCAATGCCTAGGGTCTGGACATTTTAAACATAAAATATTTCGTAAGATCTTCGCTTCATCAAATGTAGCTCTTAATTGTAAACACTTTTGTGGTAAAACTTTTAAAAATACTCGTATAGTCATGTCTCAACGTATTTAATGTAATATAACAGATTACTAGTTACTTAATAGATGATCCGAACGCTACACAAGGTGAAGCTCAATTAGCCACATTCAAAAAACCTAATAAACAATGTGTTTATAGGCAAAGTTCAATGTCACCTGACCCGCTTCATTTATTAGCGATTAAGAACTACTGAATATTTCAAAAAATGAAATGTTCGCTGGCGCTTTATCGTAGACATCAACTACTTTCTCTCGTCTTTTGTAAATAACTCATTATCTTTTACCGCTCGTGCACAAAGCAAATGGGGCAGACGAAGTAGAGTGCATCTGTTTCAGGACCTCGGCATTTGAAGGTATAGTGTGGTCAGCACAATGACCAGACGCCTTTGTTTTCCTTCACGTAAGTTAGGTACCCATAAGGGATTTTCTTCTGACTTTAACCCGGATTCGAACTGAAGACTTTCGAGTTAGCTCTCTATCGCAAGGCCACGCAATGTCCCATAATTTAAACAGATATCAACATTTTTTTTTTGTAAATACATCTGTCGACTTCCTTATCCAACATTTTTATTGTTATCAATATTAACTGTTACACATTTTATGAATAGGCTCCCAATTTTCATTGTAAATAATGTTCCAGTTGAACCTCCTTTAACCAAACCCTCGCTGCACCACTAAGTCAGGTTTCGGTCACGTACCTTTACATAATTTTAGAAACCGCCTAAACACTGAAACGCGACTTATACTTAAATTTGGCACACGGGCACCCCGAATGGTTTAAACTAACAGGTATCTTTCACATAACCAACCCCCCCCCCCCCCCCCCATACATCACGCCCCCAAACCCACCAGTATACGGTGTCGATGCGTCCTTTTTCACGTGTCTTTTCTTTAGGATACCGTGGCATTTAGTCAAGACGTGTTTTCACTGTCGAGCTAAGTCCAAAATTGTGTTACTTTTATTCTTTTCTGTCTAATATGTAACCACACTGTTGTGTGCTAACGAAGACCTTGGGTCAAAACGTCCATAGTACGTGTAACTGTCTTGAACTTGTGAGGTAACTAACACTATCTGTTTTATTACTAATTCAATATATCTCACTGTAGCTACCATGTGTTCGTACCTTCACAAGGAACCTATGGAACCCAGGGAACCTGAGGAAGACCAACATCACCATGTTCATCGCCTTACTCCTCAACTTGATGATGCCCTTGGAGAAGCGGGTGAACTCGTCGTCCTCTTTCCCCAGACAGTCGGTGACCAGACCAAAGGCGGACCTGGCGATGATCTCACTCGTGTACTGGCCCGTCAGGTACTTGATGGGGACCAGTTCTTTCTTCACGGCCAGCTTCTCTAGGACGGCGGTCAGCTTCTGTGCCGACTCGTTGATGGGGGCGGTCATTTGTTTGAGCTTACCCGAGCTGGGTGAAACATCGAAATAAAAATCACAAAAAAATGTTTATAGGTAAGCGTGAGAATTAAAAGATGAAATTATTGTTAGGTTTAATAGCCGGTAAAACATCAATACAATCTTTGTTTTTATTTCAAGTAAGGCATTTGTCATCTTCACAAATGTAGGAACGATTCACTGATAGAGACGAAGATTCCAACAGATCTCTCCCAGAATTTCTGCCAGGATGGCGGAGGGATGGGGGGGAGACACTGCTACCGCCTCAGGGTACATCCACCTACCCCCGCCCCCGGGTGTACGCACCCCCACCTGGAAATTTGAAGTGCACGTCTTCACCCCCGAAAGCCTCACGTGCTCCCACCCCCCCCCCCCCCCCCATCCCTGACAAAATTCAAAAAAATGACTTGGGTACTTGTCAGAGGTTGTATAAGGTAATAAAGTAACTTACCTAAACGACGGTGTGATAATGTGACGGATCCTCCTCCAGTCCTGTCCATTAAGGAAGAAGGCACCTTTATCTAGCAGGCTCCTGGTGATGACCCCCACAGCCCGGTCAGTGAAGTTGTTGAAGTCTTTGACCAGGACGTGACGTAGTATGTCCAGGTCCCGCGTGATGAGGATGTTGTCGCCCCCCGCCACCCCCACGGTGTCGCCATGCTCGTCGATCACCTGTCTACACGCCGCTCTGTGAGAGGAGACAGGTAAAGCTGTCTTACATAGATGTCTTATGTGTACACGACTTTCTTACTATTACACGATTTTCTAATTTGACTGTTTTACAACGGCTGTCTTATAGAGCTGTCTTACACGACTGTCTTACTGTCCGTCTTACACCACTATCTTACACGAGGGTCTTACAAAGACTGTCTTACAAAGACTATCTTACACGATTGTCTCACAGGTTAATGGCCACGTTTCACTAATTCCTTACACATCTATCTAACAAAGCTGTCTTTCAAAACTGAATTACAGGTACATTGGTGTCTTACATGTATACGACTACCTTACTCCACTCCCTTACACACCAGGCTTACAAGACCATCTTAGAAAAACTGTCTTACAGGTAAATCTTACAGAACTGTCTTGCAAGACTTTCTTACAATACGATACAATGAGCGTCACCATACTTTTATTACATATTCAAATGAAATTTTATTTAAAATATTTAAAACGTCGTTTCTTCTTCTTCTTCTTCTTCGTTCTTAATTATTAGTGTTGAAGGGGATCGAGATTTATCTGCCAGTGGGTTTGAACTCGAGACTTTGTTCGGATTTAACCATGAGCTTTTTGCCGACTCGACCACGCCTCCAACACAATTAAGCGGTACGTGTCAACTGGTTATGCGCCATTGAGGCCATTGACTCCGATTTCAGCCTGCTTTTCTTTTTGGATTTGCTTCCATAGCCTTTGTCCAACCAAGAACAAACTACAAGGCAGCAGTTGTTTAATTTTTGGAATTGTTTCTCCTAGAAGAGTGGCTGTCCCCAGCTAACGAGCCTCATCTGCCCGAGGGTTCGAACTCGAGACTTTACGGTTTAGCAACCATGAGCTTTACCGACTCGACCACGCCGACCCCTTAAACGTCGTTTCAATTATCAGGTTATATCTTTAAAACCTATTCATAGAAAGTTGAAAAGAAAAGTCATTATGTAGACCTAGGTTTTGGAGATATTGATTTATTAAGTTTATTTAATATTTGTTCTTGTCATTAATTCTAATGAAGGCCAAAGTTCGAAGCCTAATGGCAAAATCTATATATATAATTCTCTTCTGGGAGCCGTTAGAAAACAAGCTGCAAGCGCCTCCTTACAGTCCCCTCTCTCCCTCTCTATCACTACCACCCCCACCCCACCCCCACATGGTCTGGTGAGTTGTGGTCACACTAAATGTTTACAGATCGTAGAGCCGGGTTTAGTGACAGCTATTAGGGGCAGATAATTTAGTTTGAAACGATGTTAAACTTACAGGAGGTAACTTAGAGGAGGCTGCTTTCACGGGGGGGGGGGGGGTGTAGGGTCGGGGTTAGGGGAAAGGGGGGTTAGTGTTTTAAAGCAAATATTTTCAGTGACAGCATTGGTACTGTCGAATTCACAAATTATGAATTACTGAAAAGTAGAAAATAAAACAACTAAATAGCGGCGTATGATACGCCGCGGGTCGGCTCGTAAACTATATTTTATCTACACGTACTCGGCTTACAAGCACATATCTTTAAAATGCATACAAGCGCACAATTACATACACTCACAAACATACATCAAAATTTCACGTCACAGCATACAGTTGTAAAACACAATGACCACAACAGTTCAAGGTCACCTGAAGTCCGTAAACGCCTGTGACCCTAGCTTGACCTCTTTGACCCCATGTTGCTCCCAGGAAAATGTCTTTCTCAGCTTGAAGTAGATGAGAGTGAGTACGATGATGAGCACAGCCACGGTGTAGGTGAGTACATTTTGGTCCATGGTCATATAGGATGCGTGCTTGATTGCTGGTGGAGAGGCTTAGATGTATGGGTGGGTGGTGATGGTGTATATTCTGTTGGGTGGGGTATTGGTGTTATATTTAATTCGTAGGTGTGGTGGTGGTTGTATATATTGCTGGGTGGGGTGGTGATGGTGTATATTCTGTTGGGTGGGGTATTGGTGTTATATTTAATTCGTAGGTGTGGTGGTGGTTGTATATATTGCTGGGTGGGGTGGTGATGGTGTATATTCTGTTGGGTGGGGTATTGGTGTTATATTTAATTCGTAGGTGTGGTGGTGGTTGTATATATTGCTGGGTGGGGTGGTGATGGTGTATATTCTGTTGGGTGGGGTATTGGTGTTATATTTAATTCGTAGGTGTGGTGGTGGTTGTATATATTGCTGGGTGGGGTGGTGATGGTGTATATTCTGTTGGGTGGGGTATTGGTGTTTATTTAATTCGTAGGTGTGGTGGTGGTTGTATATATTGCTGGGTGGGGTGGTGATGGTGTATATTCTGTTGGGTGGGGTATTGGTGTTATATTTAATTCGTAGGTGTGGTGGTGGTTGTATATATTGCTGGGTGGGGTGGTGGTGGTGTATATTCTGTTGGGTGGGGTATTGGTGTTTATTTAATTCGTAGGTGGGGTTTAGATTGTTGGGTGGAGTGGTGGAGGCTTAGATTGTTGGGTGGAGTGGTGGATGCTTAGATTGTTGGGTGGAGGTGTTTAGGCTGAGATTTCTGAGTGGAGTGGTGGATGCTTAGATTGAAGCGTGGAGTGGAGGAGGTTTTGGTTGTTTGATGGAGTAGTGAAAGCTGAGATTTCTGGGTGGAGTGTTGGAGTCTTAGATTGGTGGTGTGGTGGGTGGGTTAGTGGAGGCTTAGCTTTGGTGGAGTGGTAGAGGCTTAGATTGTTGGGTGGAGTGGTGGAAGTTTAGATGACTGGAAGTGGATGTACAGATTTGAACGATGAGGTCATAGCCGAGGTTTCTTTTAATAAATCAACTTAAAGTATTGCAGTTTGTGATAAACTGAAGTGGCAATCATTATCAATTCTCTGAGGCCTGAAAATTGTGTTGGGAACTTGAATGACTTTGAGAAGTGTTAACAGGGTTAGAAAAGTTAATCGTTAATCGTTTTGATGGTGACAACAGAAGTTGTTTGAAGATGGTGGAATGAATACGTCTTAGACTACTAAAGGCGATGTCCAAATTGTCTATTAGTTATATTGTTAACAATGTACCTATCTAAATATCCATTTATATTATTCCTAGTAATAATCCTTTATCTAACCATTACTTCAAGCTTGAAAACACAGCTAAAACTGTCAAATCAAGAACGATCTCTCCCCCGAAGGTTATGCCTACTAGTCAACATGTAGACGAACATGTTGAAGTTTTTAAGCATTAACAAGCAATAACCCAGTAATTGGACTACTTTCACAATTCAGTAGCTCCCAGCACACAATGAAATATAATCTTACCTCTAGTTGTTGCAGTGTAATGATTTAGAAAGAACGTTTGATATATCCCGATAAATTTACTAGATACAGATCTAACAACGTTACTTAAATAAAAACGTAGGCGCCATTTTAAAACATTATGTTTACATTCAACAAGACTCCTATATAAATAGTCGGCCTGATTCCCGTGTGACACACTACACAGTTGTACCGTGACCTGTGCTGCTACTGTGCTGGGACGTGTGTATCAAGGTTACCCAAGTCTGTCGAGTGTGGGGTTCACGTTATCGTTTATGTAAATAGTGGGTCAAGGAATTCCTCGTCAGTTGTGAAACAAAAACGTTGACTTGGGTAATTCACAATATCCACTTTAATGCATTAATCAGTTTGAGTTTCTTCCAGGCATCTCTTCGGGGAAGCTCCCTCACCCCCCGGAGAAATTCTACCACCCCCCCCCCCCACACACACACACATCGAAATGGAATTTATATTGAAAACATATACTTTTACCAGTGCCCGCTCCCTCCCTCCCCCCGCCTGGAAAATTGTTGTCCGCCCCCCCCCCCCCCGAAAATATCAAGTGCCCCCCCCCCGGGAGAAAAACGTCTGGAAGAAACACTAGCATTAATGTGAATTTCTTAAATATGATTAATTAGATAGTTAGTAGATCAAAGTCTAAATGAGTATTATTGTTTATTTCCTTTTATGAATTCTAGGCAATTTGACACGCATTGAACATAAATCGATGGAACAATAATATAATCGCTATCTAAACTTTAAAAAGTAACAATTTCTTAAGTCTAACTAAATCACACTAAACAAAAACTACTCATTAGGCTAGCATTACCTTAAAAATGCGATAATTAGTTTAAAATCACAAAACTATATTGGTGCTACATATCACCAAAACTTGAATGTATAATCGTGTAGGACTAGACTTATAATTTTTAAATACATGAAAGTTATACAGCGGTGCATTTAGGTGTTTTAATAAAGAAAACAAAATGCTAATATAGTTGTAACTAAATAGGGATCGTGGATGGAAGGAAAAAATAGATACCTACGAAATACTCGTACAAACATACAAGTGATCTTCGGGATGAGCCAACAATTTCAAAGACACATTCTGTCGATGTTGTAGTTTTCAAATGTATATTGAAATACATTATAGTTAAATGTGAATATTGATGTGATTTTGGGTATCAAAGTTAAATTATTTTTATCGTAAATAAACATAATTGGCCTATTCATTTATTTCTGTTTGTTTCTTAGTTTTACTTCCAGTTGAATAGGCGTCTCAACGACGATGAAAAACTGAAATTTCGTGATGACATCTCCTCCAATCGGCGGTACAGTTTTTTCATTGAGCTCAACCTTGACCTTCCTCAACACATGGACGAGTCCAATTTTGAGCTCGAGGTACGCCAGCCTCATGCCGATACATAGACGAGGGCCGTAACCAAACGGTAGAAAGGTCATGGGGTCACGGTGTTTGCTGTTCTCTGGTGAAAATCTGTCGGGATCAAATCTTTCGGGGTCGGGGTAATTTCTGGGGTCTTTCATGATCTCTTCGATCAAAATCATCACAACGGCGTTCTTGGGGATTGTCACGTGACCGTATGTTCTAGTTTCCGCTGCCGTTCTGTTGATGATGAGAACCGGAGGGAAAAGTCTGAGAGTCTCGTTGATGACCTGTTCCATGTAGGTCAGCTGACTCAGTTCTTCGTAGGTCGGGGAATTTGAGGTCACGACGGAGCAGATCTCTGCGTAAAGTTTCTCCTGTGGTGAAATGTTTTGTGTATTTTCGAAGTTTAAATAAGTATCGGAAATTGTTAAATTATATTACTTTTATTTCTGTGCATATCTCATTCTCTCTCTCTCTCTCTCTCTCTCTCTCTCTCTCTCTCTCTCTCTCTCTTATCTTAAGCAATGCTTTCAATATAACATTAGAAGCACCCAAGCTGGTACCCACTAGCAGTGTTTCAGGCCAACCTGTCTTACCTACCTCCGCAGGTACATCTCATACCTGGATGTCATAAATGACCGTGGACGGTTAATTTCTATGATACCACACCAAGGTACCAAGACTTTACATTTCGGGCTAGCAAACTCGTGTTCTACTTTTGTAAAAACACATTTCTACCATTCATAGTATTGTCATAAAAGCGTACATAAGTTTATCCAACAAAATTGATTCTTTTTTTTTCAAAATAAATACTAATCTAAAACCAGTAAATGTGTTTAATTTAATAAAGGTTTGTTAGCTATTTACCTGTATGTCTGGATGTTTGGCCAACAGATAGAGACACATCTTTAATGTCATCGATGTAGTTTCAAACCCCGCAAATATAATTAAAAGTGCTTGTCCCAGTAGTTCTCGTTCCGACAACGTTTTGGGGAGTTTTTCCCAAGTCTGGTGCTCTGTCATATCGGCTGGTGAAAACGTTTCAAAATTCTGTGTCATGCTGTTGTTTGGCTATTAAGTACTAATGATGTAACGAAATTAGTAAGTTACTTTTATGTCAAAAATTTTGTGAAAACCTATTTTCAAGCATCAATGACGTAGGCAGGTTTTTGTTCTTGGGAAAGACTAAGCATTATTGTTCATTGTAATACAGGCCATATATATATATATATATATATATATATATATATATATATATATATATATATATATATATATATATATATAATTCTCTTCTGGGAGACGTTAGAAAACAAGCTGCAAGCGTGTCTTGCAGTCCCTTCTCTGTCTCTCTATCGCTACCCCCCCCCCACCCCTCGCAACCCTGAAAAGTAGAAAAAACAACAACTAAATAGCGGCGTATGATACACCGCGGGTCGGCTCGTATATATATAACATAATATGTTTGTTGCTGTTTTTATGACATTCGGAATTTGTAAATACAAAGCGTAACTTAATATAACTTTGTTAGCCTGCTAACCCTAAATTCTCGAGTTAAATTCCGAGTCGGTAGAGCGTCTCTGATTCCTCACCACACACTATCCCTTCATATGCAGAGGTCACACGAACTTGCCCCATGGACCGTCATTTTTTAAAAGGGAACTTCATTAATATAACTTAGTGTACGGAAACCCTTATTTTGGGGATCTCTAAAATCTCTACCCCAGCATACCACCCCCTAACTACGCCACTGTCACGCACCCCCTCCCCCTCAATGCAATCAGGTGTCGTACGTTTAAAAGTGGCTGCCTCTTCATCCCCCGCAAGTTTAGCAGCCACAAGACTCTGTAGCAGATCCGTTGGTTTCCTGGCCCCTTGTTTCTCCATTACGATCCTTTGTGCCACGATAGGCGATAACACAGTGCGGAAGTACTTGTCTGTTTTTTTGTTGATGATATCAAGACAGCTGATACCTAGGGTCTGGGAGTCAACAGAATAAGAGATTTATGGATAGCATAACTGACATTAGTTATAGTGATGAAGTTGCTGTTCAAAGCTTGTCAGTTAATTAAAGATGGACTATTTGAATCAGTGCATTACAATTCCAGTTATAAAAAATAATTCTCTCTCTTTCTCTCTCTCTCTATCGCTCTCTCTCTCGCTCTCTCTATCTCACGGATACTTTGTTTACAATAGTAAGCAAAAGACCATTGTATGTATGCTGTGGATTATTAAATACTAACACGTCATTTTTATTACTATCCAAAATTTGAATGTGTAGTGTGATAAAATGTACAATTCTATTCATTAGCTTGCTAATCCTGACTTGTACACTGACTACAGCTTTGATATCTTTATAAGTTAATCAATAAAAAAAAACATTGGACAGAGAACCGGATACTCTATTGTTTTTACCTTCTTTATGTGCTTGGTTTTTTGATAGTTAAATGGGAAACTTTTTTCTCAATATACCTTTAAGATGTTTGGTATTTAAATGCTGTCTTCCAGGTCTACAGACTGCTATTATGGACCACCCTAGGTGGTCTTTACCTGTAATTTGACATACTTTTGTCTACAATACACATAGGCTGTCGTCACCTTGCAAAAAGTAATCTTGGAGCTGGGACACGAGACAGTGCTATCGAATACTCTAGGAGGAATTTACCTGCACATTAACAGACACCTTGTCTACAAGAGACGTGGGATATCCTCATTTTGACCACGTAGACATTAAGTCCAGCCTGGAGTCAGTGAAGCTGCTGTGCGGGTTTTTACCTAATTTTTTTACCTGCGTCAGACGGGTTCTGTCCAGTGGCGTAGCTAGGATTTTTGGGCCCCTATGCAAAAAGTGTAATGGGCCCCTCAGAGGCGTAGCGACCCTTCCCGGCGACCGGGGACAAACTTTCGATTTGCACCCCACCCCCCAGACTTTCGATTTGCACCCCCTCCCCCTCAGACTTTCGATTTGCACACCCCCCCCCCCCTCAGACTTTCGATTTGCACCCACCCTCCTCAAACTTTCGAAAAAAGGCCCCTATTTGCCTTGGGCCCCTATGCCTTGCTTACGCTAGCTTTACGGTAGCTACGCCACTGGGTCTATCCTCACCTTGACCAGGTAAACATGGAGCCGCTTCCAGCGTACAACAACCTGTAGCATCACGTCCTGGAGTTTGCTACGGACTGTAAAAATATTCTTGGCGTAGTAAGTGAACTCGTCGTCGTCCTTCCCCAGACAGTCTGTCCTCAAACCAAAAGCGGACCTGGCAATGATCTCACTCGTGTACTGGGACGTGATGTGCTTTACTGGCAACAGCGTCTGGTTCCTGGCAAACTCCTCCAAAACTGTGGCCAATTTTTGGGCCGACTCTTCGATGTTTGAGCAAGCTTGCTTTAATTTCCCTGTACTAAAATAAAAACATTGGATGACTTAGATAAATGGACAACAATAGTTTACGCTTGATTATACGGTGTAATATTTGAGTTAAATTAATTTGTGTCTGAAGATTTTGTAAAAAAAAAAGGATACAGTATTACTATAATAAATGTGCCAAGTGACTAAGCTTTAATCGTCGTTAGGGCTTTACTTGAATACATGTGAGTGAGTCTAGAGGTTTTTACATGAATACGTGTGTGAAAGTCTAGAGGTCTTTACATGAATACATGTATGAAAGCTGCTTAGGTCTTTACATGAATACATGTATGAAAGCATCTACCTGCATACAGGTATGAAAGCCAATGCTGAATACAGGTAAGAAAACCGCCGAGGTATTTACCTGAATACAGGTATGAAAACCGCTGAGGTTTTTACCTGAATACTGGTATGAAAACCGCTGAGCTATTTACCTGAATACAGGTATGAAAACCGCCGAGCTATTTACCTGAATACAGGTATGAAAGCAACTGAGGTTTTTACCTGAATACAGGTATGAAAGCCGCTGAAGTCTTTACCTGAATATAGGTATGAAAGCAACTGAGGTTTTTACCTGAGTACAGGTATGAAAGCCGCTGTGGTATTTACCTGAACACAGGTATGAAAGCCGCTGTGGTATTTACCTGAATACAGGTATGAAAACCGCTGAGGTCTTTACCTGAAGGACGGTGACATCACGTGACGGATCCGCTTCCAGTTTTTGGCGTGTGTGAAAAACAGGCCGTCCTCCTTCACGCTGGTGGTGGTCAGCACGCCCATCCGGTCCACGAAGTTGTTGAAGTCCTTGGACATGACGTGTCTCAAGAGATCAAGGTCACGCGTCACCAGCACCATCCGGCCAAATTTGAGGCCAACGGTGTCGCCGTGTTTGGCCACCAAAGCTGAGGAGATGGCCCTAAGAAAAAAAAATCATTGATGTACAACGGTGAAATGTGATATTGTATTATACTCACATAAAAGATGAACATGTGAGCAGCCATTAGATGAATACATTGTTAAAATATAACGTTATATCGGTTCCTATATTTCCCTTTGGCTTCTTTGCTGCAATATACTTACTTCAACTAAGGTGGCACTAGATATAGCAGGAAGGTATTGGGTTTTAAAAGAATATTTGTATGACTTTCACCGTCCGAACAAAGGCCCGACCCAGCAAAACAAACCATGGCTACGCTAGTCTTGACAATAACATAAATCTATAACTTAATATCAACCCGAGCTTAAGTTCGTTAGATGTTCCTGAATCCATTCAGCCCCAATGTATACTTTTCTCATGTGAATGAAAAATACAACTATAGAACCGACCACACTATTCTTTCAAATGCCGAGGTCATAGAAACAGGTTAACTCTACTTCGTCTGCACATTTCATAACAAAGTTCGAAAGTGGAATTTTTGAAAAGTATAAATACTATTATTACTACCAATGGTTATATTTGCGATAGTGACAGAAAGAAACAACTCCTTACGATACTGCATAAATGTACGGTCGCTTTGTTTTTCTTAAAAACATCCATATTGACTTATCCGACAATGATTTGAAAATACTACTAAAACTAAAATGTGTGTTTTAAATTAAAGTGGATTTTAGAGATGCAATTTCCAACAAATTACACCTGTCCCATGCGATTATTTATTAAACTTTAGGGAAAAACCAGAGCATTCGTTAATCGCCAATAAATTAACTAAGAACCTAATGATTTCATATTTATTGATATTTTTTTTCTTAAAAAAGAAATTAAACCCTGATCAAGACTTACCTAAAATCAGAAAATGCAAGCCTACCCAGGCTAACCTGCTTGACGCCATATTGGTCCCAGCTATCCTTGCCAAAGATCCAGCAATAGATGAACCAACTAACTACAACAGCTACCAATACACCAACCGCAGTTTCCAGTTCGAAGTTAAACTCATCCATCGCGACGCAGTAATCTACTCATAATCAACTTATTTACCAGATACTACGGCCTATATGAATATCCGTCAAGGTCTGGCCCTTAACAGAGCCCCATCGTCAACCAATAGATATTTAACATTGTGTTACGTATTTAATAAGCATAAATTAATATATTGATCATAATTGACGTAGGCTATGAAGATATGGTGGGTAAGTATGAATTTAAAGATCGCAGTTTTACTCTCTGAAGTTTTTTATCCACACATAGTCATGTTGAAGCCTTAATCCTGATAGATTAGCATTTAGTATTTCCCAAAAAAATGACTATATTTCTATAGAAATTTTAGTAGTACAAAATACCAGTGTTTGCGTTATAAAAAACTATAATTTTTGTTTAAAATATGTTACGTTCATCAGTTGTATCATCATCATCCTCATCTTTTCCCAAGACACATGGGTCAGATGAAGTAGAGCTTATCTGTTTCAGCGACCTCGGCCTTTGAAGGGATAGTGTGGTCAACACCATGCCTATTATCAGTTGTATGATGTTTTTTTATACACCTGTTGGCACACATTGGGATTCAGATTGCATTACTATTTTTAAAAAGTTCAAATTTTTGAGCTAGTAACGAATGGCCTACATCAACAATTATTTTATGGCACAGATTTCTAATTAGAAAAAAAACATTTGTTGTTAAACCTCGACAATTAGCTCTAATTTTGCGAAAACTTTATCGACAAGGGGAAGGCACTCCGCGTATGTTAACTAAATTTGTGACGCAGTTGAGCAGACTGATTGTCTTTAAGCGACCGGGAAAACACAAGAATCGACCCCCTCTCCAAGTTTAATTTTTGTAGTGGATTTCTTTCACTAACCAAGCTTGAAGGTCGATGCCTACAAAGTCACTGGTCACTTTAAGCATTGCAATATACAACAGCTAACCGACTTGCTTGTGAATATTTCAACTATGGACATCAATTTGAAATTTTAATTTTACTCCATTAATTAGATTAAGATGGGACGGCGTGGCTACATGGTAGAGCGAACAAATGCTAACTCTAAAATCTCGAGTTCGGATCCCGAAGGAAGTACTTGAAGCCACAGCTCTAATGTGTACCGGATTCACGGTGGGCAAAATTGGCGAGTTGGAAATTAGAACTTGTGTAAGCCAAGGTAATTGAAACAGGGGATCTATATTTCATGTTCCAGATGTGTACTAACTAGGAAAAACAAACTGGTTTAGATCAACAATTTCATATCTTTTCCAATGTTTCTTCCAGACTTTTTTCCGCGGGGTGGGGGAGGGGGGGGGGGTTGGGGGATTGATATATTCATGGGGGGGGGGGGGGGCTGCGGACAACATTTTCCGTGGGGGGGGCGGACACTGGTAAAAGTATGTTTTCTATATAGATTCCATTTTGTTCCGAGGGGGGGGGGGGGTGGCGGTATACTTTCTTCGAAGAGATGCCTGGAAGAAACTCTATCTTTTCTCCGATAACTATTTGTTTATGGTATAACCTATCTTAAAGTCAGCTCCTACTCGAAGATTAACGATGGTTATTATGAAGCAAAGTTGATTTTTAATAAAGTTAAAAGTATCAAAAGCTCTTTAATTATTTTTTAGCATGTAACTAATAGCCCTTTCATAAACAAATTTGGAACCTAGAGCTAGGTAAAGTTATTTTGTTCTCCAAAATAAAATGAATTAACGTTGTACTCAAAAGAACTAGTCTCCAACAGGTGTTACATACACTAGTCCTGTATTCAAAAGAATTTCAATGCTGTTCAACATAGCCCACATTGTGACATCAAGGTAATTTCTAATATGGTTATCAGACATCAGAAAATAAAAGGTAATGGACAAGTGGCTAAGCCGAGGTATTTTCTAAAGTACTGTAACCAACAGCTGCTGTGTTGGCTTTAAAACTGAGACAATATATGCAGTGTGTTTATATTGATCTCGTGTAATTAGCGTAATAATTAATTAAGATAACGGTATTAGTCTAAGGCCTTCTTGTCATGAAAGACTTTGATGTTGCAAAAATATGAATTTAATTACTTCCTACTTGGGTAGTTGATACAGGTATGCTGATCCGCTGGCTGATTATAAATAAAGACAGCCGCCAAGTTTGATAGAAATGTACAGTAGTAACAAAATAAAAATATAAAATAATACGAATTTGTGTTAGAATTTATACGTATTGCGCTGGTTGATCTTTTTTTTTGTCTACTGTTTAAAAAAAAAAAACTTCCATTCTAAGACCTGGATATTGATTTATTAGTTTTGTACTAAAGATACATCTGCAGATAATCTAAGACCTGGCTATTAATTTTGTATTAAATATCTGCAGATGGTATAAGATCTGGTTATTAGTATTGTACTAAATATCTGCTGATACTATAATATCTGGTTATTAGTATTATACTAACTGTCTGCAGATAGCATAAGATCTGCTATTAGTATTGTACTAAAGATGTATCTAAAGACAATATGAGACTGTACTGTACACACTTGAAAAATAACCTATATATGTGGAAAAATAATCAATAACTCAAGACTTTTTAACTAGTCAGTTAACCGGCCCTGTGAAGCACGACTAACACATATTTATTAAAACGACTACAAACAAAAATAAAACTATGTTGAATTTGTTCTGAAATAGGGCTTTCGTCAAATATTCTATAAACCAAATAAGGCCTTCTCAAAGCAGCCGTTTCTAAACATTTCCTCAACAAAAGTAGTTGGCATTAAAATGGTAGCATTAAAATGGTAGCATTAAAATGGTAGCATTAAAATGGTAGCATTAAAATGTGTTGCATAAAAACTTTTACAACCCAGTAACTAGCAACACAAAAGTATTCAAGGACCGTAACTCGCTTAACATAAATCACGCAGGAAATTTAACACCAAAACTATTTGAAAAATATATTTAACAATTTGTTTTGCTCAATTATCGTTAAATATAGTTCACAATTGTCTATAAAAAATATATAAATAATTAAGAAATGTAATTTTATGATGAAATATGAAATAGTTAAAAATAATCGTTTTAATTTTTTTGCAAATTTCTATTCATAATAGCCATCTGAACTTAATAAAAGAAAGCTTATATAAGTCAAACTACACAATAATTTCTGTATTTGCATTGACGTAAAATCCCAAAAGTTAGTTATTATTTTCTGAAAGTAATACAATTTTGAAACAGACTATTGCCTTAAAGAATCAGTGACTTTGGATTAATTTCATCTCTTCTTATTTTTAAACTCGTGTGTATTTCCATTTGGAACCTTGTGTGTTATTTTTTTTTCCTTCACATTTTATACATTGTAAGTACTTTTTTTCTGTTTTATTTCTTGTGTGTGTTGCCTGGCCCCGGATGGGCCTCACGCACAACTATGTCGGAAAAATACATCAAACGGCTATTCCTGCCTAAGTTTGGCATGGCAGGACATGCACCAAAAACTCTAGAGATTTTCATAGAAGAGGGTTTTTCTTTAGCTACACTCACAGCTGACGAACTAAAAAGAGAGCTATGTATGTTATGTAGCCTATCACCAGCTGAATTTGAAGGTCTGTATAACTATGGGACACTGCGTAAATGGTACGTCACCATTAGATCAAAGGAACTATATGAGAAAATGCACCTAAAAGAATTTCACAGAGATTTGCCACCTGGGGTAACATCCAGATACAGAGTGCAGAGAATATCAATAACCCACGCCGATAAATCTGGGCAAAGGGGCATGCTGAAATGGCTGCCTTCCAAGACAAGCGACGATGATATAATGGCGATTCTGAAATCTATAAGTAGTCAGGACTCAACACCAACATTTAAGAGAATAGACCAATCAAATGTGGTCCAATTCACCATCTCTCTGGAGAAAGAAGATGTGGAGAGTGTGCCACACTATATTATACTTACAAATGAGGCCAACAAGCAGAGCAGAGTCCTTATAATCCTCAATGGGAGGAGGGTGCAATGTTGCCACTGCAACACAGACAGACACCTGCCTAAAATGTGTGAGCATTTGAGGACTCGCGCTCTTGACGGCGTCCAGCTAGTAGATGGACAGTACAGGGCAATTGAGCCTTGGGATGCAAATGATAAAGAAGAAGTTAGGGAGCATCTAAGTAACAATAGAAATTTCTTAAAGCATTGGGACAGTTATGATGTTGACGGAGAAAGACAAAATGAAATGCTTAGAGAAGCAAGGCATAGAGAGGTAGAAGATGCCTTTGGAGTAGATGGCCAAACTGAAGCACATCATACTACTGCAGCATCACAGCAAGTTAACGAAAGCGTAACAGAAACCACCATAGAGGCCGAAGCCATGGAGACAATAGCGATCAGAAATTCCATAGTAACAGGGTCTAAAAAAGATGGGAATCAAGAAAATTTGGAGGCTGTCGACGAAAAAATAAATGATATTCTTCAAGATAACACTAGTTCAGAAAACATAACGAAGCCGCTAAAGAAAAATATTAAAAGCTCACAAAGTATATCAGCAACAAAGGTATCAGGTCAACTGTCATATAGTCAAGCAATCAGTTCAAGTAAAAATCAATTACCTACAGTAAAGCCACCTCAAAGGGTCGTGACCAGGGCCCAACGGGATAGCAAACCAGCGGCTGGAAAGTTTGGCGTTAAAAGACCACCACCATCCAGCCCTCCAGAAACAGATGTTCGAAAGAAAACCCCAAATAATTCATGCTAACTCTGGCAACATTGAACATCAGGGGGGCTAGGGACAAACACATTATATAAACAACATAATAAATAAACACATTATTGACATCCTACTTTTAAAGAAAACTACCATTTGAACTACAGAAGAAGCAAATAAACTAGATGCATAATTAATATCAACAGTCTCAAGCTAAACATCACTCGATCAGCCCTCAAGTAAATTAACATTAGAACAGTCTTCTGTTTCCCAGGTTTTTAAAAGTGCACAACCTGAATGGTAGAAAGAGATACACACCTCACCCCCCCCCCCACACACACACACACACTTCCCCCCACTCAACCGGACTGGCGGATTTTTCAAGGTAGCGTGACCTCTTTGCCAAGGGTCAATTTTATGTCATGGAAAGTTTTGGAATGATGGATCAGTATGTGTACTGCAGAGACACTTCTCCCAAGGTCGTTTCTATTTCTGTCCTTATGTGGCTACAATGTGAACTTTTGACTCCTCAGCTAAGGACAAAGCACAGTAAACTAAGCAGTCAAGAGAAACCTAGTTTGCACACCTTATTTTAGTCTAGTTCTTATGCCATTTTATTTTCTCCATTTGATTATTATATATGCAATTGATGTTCATGTCTTTGATGCTGTGTAAAATCTATCTTTATATTTAGACGTTTTGTATTACATCTATGTATATGTAAACCATCTTAAATGAATGAAAGCAGGCTACAAGTAAGAAAGAAATATTACTATTGTAATATATTGTAATATATTGTATTACTATTTCGTTTTCATTTGATGTTCGAAATTATGTAAGAATTTGATGTTGATGTACTTGTTTTAAATTGCAAATAAAAGTATTTAAAAAAAAAAAATTTTAAAACGAATATTTTGAAGTATGTTATTCTCTGAGTTTAACCTCCAAATGAATGGGTTTCTCAACTAAAAGGATGCCTTGAAAAAATGTCGACGCATCTCCTCCAACAGAAGGTTCCGTCCTCTCGCTCAGTTCAACCTTGACCTTCCTCAACACATGGACGAATCCAATTTTGAGCTCGAGGTACGCCAGCCTCATGCCGATACACAGACGAGGGCCGTAACCAAACGGTAGAAAGGTCATGGGGTCGCGGTGTTTGCTGTTCTCTGGTGAAAATCTGTCCGGGTCAAATTTTTCGGGATTGGGGTAATTTTTGGGGTCTTTCATGATCTCTTCAAGTAGAACAAATACGACGGCGTTTTTGGGAATGGTGATGTTGCCGTATGTTCTGGTTTCAGTGGCGATTCTGCTGACCAGTGGCAATGGGGAATAAAATCTGAGAGTCTCGTTAATGACCTGCTCCATGTAGGTCAGCTGACCAAGTTCTTCGTATGTTGGTGAGTCTGATGCCACGACGGAGCAGATCTCTTGGTACACTTTCTCCTGGAAGAAAAATATAAGTTTTATTTTATAGCAGTTCAATGGCTGTTTTTTTATTATTGTTGACCATTTCGTGCACATGAACATTTCATCCGACCCAAATTGTTGCAGAGGAAGAAGTCTTTAGCGATAACACCACTAAGTAAATGAATGCGTATTTTATAAAATCTCCCACCTGAATCTCCGGATGCTTGGCCATCATGTAGAGACACATCTGGAATGTCGAGGCCGTGGTTTCGAACCCAGCGAATATGATCAGCATCGACTGGCCCACTAGATCTCGTTCAGACATCGTTTTAGGAAGATTCTCACTAGACTGGTCAAGTGATACGTCTGTCGACCACAATTCCATAACAATTATTATCAGTTTTAGGCAAATATGTGTTAAGATACAAGATAAATAAGCTGCTTAAATTTCGAAAGATACACATACTTGAAACAACGTCCGAACATTAATAGAGATTTGAAATTAAATACTGCATATGTTTGGCATTTCAAATCGAACTTGGTGTTATCAACAGCTGTACTCACGTTCAGCGGCCTCCTTGTCCCCTGCAAGTTTAGCAGCAACCAAACTCTGCAGCAGGTCTGTTGGTTTGTTTGTACCCTGCCTCTCTAGCTCCACCCTCTGTGTGATCAGGGCTGATATCAGGTCATTGAAGTACTTGTCTGTGTTCTTGTTGACCATGTCAAACAAACTTATGCCTAATGTCTATAAACATTATTTATCATTGTTTTAAAACTATATGAAAGCAAAAATATTAAGTATTAAAAATATAATGAATTATTTTTTTAAAGAATATATTATATTATAACAGTTAAATCGAAAGATACCGAAAAGCTAACAGTATGACTAACTTATACCTAATGTCTGTAATCAGAGGCAATACCATTTAGTCTTACTACAGGGCTCATACAAAATATATATATATATGTAGTTATATATATATATATATATATATATATATATATATATATATATATATATATATATATATATATATATATATATATGCGCGTATATATTTCATTTCCGTTATACTAAAATTAAACGAAAAAGCTTTTTTTTTAAATAAATGTCTCTGTCTTTGATGAATGAAATGTACCGCCTTTGATGGACGTTAGCTAAAAAAATAACTTTGATTTGGATGTCTATTTAACATAGCTATCAGCTTTCATTTGATACTGACTTATTCTAAATAAATTTGATGTAAGATCTTAATATCAGAAATATATTTATAATCACTTAAATGATCACATTTGTATTTAAATTTTTAAATTAGCATTGTTTTAAGTGTTATATTTTTAGCATAGGCGTCCTTTTTTTTTTACAGCAGTATGTTTAATTAGCTGTTGTTAAAAAAAATGCTAGTTAGTGGTTAGTTTAAGGTTCTTTAATATACTTGAAAACTTCTTACTATAAGGATGGTAGAAAACCTGATTAAAAAGGCCTTACGACAGAAATGTTCTTTAGCGTTACAATTATATACGTCATTAATACATTACTTTCAACCTGTTACATAGTGAAAATATACACTTTATATTCAGCACATTAGAAGTATCATACGACTTGACTTTAATACCTTTGACAGGAAAATATGCAGCCTCTTTGATCGGAATATCAGATGCATTAACTTGTCATATATTTTCCCTCTGATGCGAAACATATTTTTAGAATAATAAGTGAACTCGTCGTCCTCCTTCCCCAGACAGTCTGTCCTCAAACCAAACGCCGATCTGGCAATGATCTCACTCGTGTACTGGGACGTGATGTGCTTTACTGGCAACAGCGTCTGGTTCCTGGCAAACTCTTCCAAAACTGTGGCCAACTTTTGGGCCGATTCTTCGATGTTCTTGCTGATGTGTTTAAGTTTGCCTGTGCTGCAGTAGAGCATACATATGGACATATGGTTTCACTTGTATTACAGATGACGTTCGGAATTATTCAATAAAAATAAGCTTAAAAAAGGTAAATTTCCTACTTTAAAGTTCATTTGTGAAATCTGTTGAAGGATTATAATTATAAGATTGGCGTTACATAAGTATATTTGTATTAACTGAACTAATTGCAACAGTATGTATCTAATTGAGGTATTTGTTTTAAAAAATATAGAACAGAGAAAAAATAAAAAAAAAATTTCTCAAAACATCGCATGCAACTTTAAATTAAAATAAACTCCATTGAATGTAAATAATAAAATTCATGTAATAAATGTAAATGCAAAGTCCAGAACTAGCCGGATACTTGGGTTGGTACCTTAAAATATTACAATGAAGATTTTACAAAGTCAAGATACGGCACTGGATCTTTAAAAAATCCTTTTATTATAACAACTTCAAATAAATCATACTATTTATGCTCTCTAACAATCAAACCCAACCTAGCAGAAGTCTTGAACCTGTACCTGAATGATGGAGTGGACAAATGTCGCACTGTTCTCCACTTGTCCCCACCCAAGTAGAAAAGACCGGTCTCAATGGCGCTCCGGGTGACCAAAGTCGACATCCGGTCCAAAAAATATTTTGAGTCCATCCCCATGACCTGTCTGGCCAGTTCAAGGTCACGGGTCACTAAGGTCAATCTGCCCAAGTTAAGCCCTACTGTGTCTCCATGCTGTGCTACCACAGTGGAGGTTAGGATTCTGAAAGATAAAGGGTTTCTTCTTTAATAGAACTTTCTACCCTAGACATATGTGTATATGTCAAATAAAGTATTGAGAGAAAACTACAAAGGAAATATGGGTTTTCGCAGAAAGGCAAACATGTTATAATCATAAAGCTAATAAGTCTTAGTCTTAGTGTAATACCACCATTAACCTAACCGAACATAATCGAAAGAAACAAAAGGTAGCGAATCAAACCTAACACTAACTTGATATAAACAAGTGAATGTTTTCTTAACTGTATTTCTAATTGTGTGTCATTTTTTTCTAAATAGTCCAAAAGTCTAAAACTTTACTCCAATTTATATTTTAATTAAAGTACGTTATCTGTAATATCCCTTTGTTTAAAGAACGTTATCTATACTATCCCCGAACCATTCGTCGCTTGTTACCTACCTAAAGTCAGCCATAGCCAGCCTGCCCAAGTTGACGTGCTTGACGCCATATTTCTCCCAGCTCTCCTTGACAAAGAGGTTCGTGTACAGAAGGTACAGGAGGACAATGGAGGTGGCCAACAACAAACTCACAGACACGCTGGGTGAGAGGTCAGCGCCAAAATCCAGAAACGTCATCGTTTAAGTCAATTTCTAAATGTTGGTATAGATGTTTAAAACAATTTCTGAAAACCAATGTTGTCATGCATGTTAGGGCTAATGAACTGATGAGTTAAATGAAATGTAAAGCATTCACATGATTCAGATTAAGTAGGCTACTTGGCAGCATAGAAATTGATAGCGCGACGACATTATTTTGGGCCCCAGTGAATACCGAAGGCCAGGCCGCAAGAGCTCATAGATGTACTTCAAAGACCTCTTGTTAGCAACCAAGGCGAGCCACCCTGATGGAGACACCCGGCTGTGGTCAGGCATGGAGAGGGGTGGGCACCGGCGTTGGACACTTTGCCCTAGACACGTGACACAAAGGGTGATGGAATTCTAAAAAACAAATCTAATAGCATATCTTAAGTAAAGAAAACTCACCAGCAATGATTGTAGACCTCTTTGTATGTAAACACTGAGTTGTTATTCACCCGTCTCACAAGCAAACTGTAAACTTTTGAGACAGACTTAAATCCTGTATTAGTGTAAGCAGAATGTTGTTCACCTAACGTCTGTTAAAAACGTTCAGTCGAGCGTTACAGAAAACAAGGTTAAATCTTATTACAAACTTTGGGCCTCAGCATACTATGACGTATAGTTAATAAACCGGGAGTGATCTCCCCTAAACTTTCTCGAATATTCTAATATAAAATTACGAGGGATGGCAACTCAGGACATAGACAATATTTGTTATCCATTTTTAATTACTTAAACTTTTTATAATAGAATAGAATCTCGTAAAAAAAGAATAGCACACCAAGTGAAAAGTTTCCCATTCAAACCTGACGGTCTATGGGGCAAGTGAAGTAGAGTTCACTTGTTTCTGTGACCTCGGCATATGAAGAGATAGTGTGGTCAGCACTATGCCCAGCCGCCTTTACTTCCCCTAACAGGAGTTAGGTACCCATGAGAGTTGGGTGGACTCAGGGACGGTCTACTGACTTGAACTCAGATTCGAACTCGAGACTAACGGGTTAGCAGTCCAGCTCTCTACCGCTGGACCACTCCGTCCCACACCAACTGAACGCCTAATAAAATGTGTATAAAAGTGCGGGATATTATTAGTACTTTATAAATTTACATGCGTTTTTTGAGAAATTGGAAATAGCGTAAATTAGTACTTCCGGTTAACGGAAATTACTCAAAATTTAACAGAAGGTAGAGAATTATATCTTTTACGTACGTGTGAAATTTCATGCATCTATCTAAAATAGTACGCAACTTATAATCTTTTGAAAAATTCAAAGTAGAAAAAGTACCACTTCCGGTTATCGGAAATCGCTCAACAGTTGATCAGGATCTACGATTTTGATAAAATACTTATATATGAAATTTCATCAACCTAGCTGTAACGGTACTCAAGTTATCGTGTTTACACACAGACTGACACACAGACACACAGACATACGGACAGAATTGCAAAGTCCAGTTTTTACGACTCGATAACGCATAAAACGCCAAAACGTTTATATATTTGTATTAATAATTTTTGCCTGATTAAAATAAGTCCTCTATACTCCGGATGTGATGAAGGACTGAGGAGTAAAACTGTGAAAACTGTCAAAATTTCATGTTATTTTTGTGCACGATTACAATACTTTCTCTATACTTCGTATATACGAGAAAGTAAAAAGTGATGTTGATAACTATTAGAAAAAGTATGTCACATTGTTAACAGTTGGGTGTATTATATTTACGCGGTAGTAACTGTAAGAAGCAGAGAACTAGAAACAATTATTTTAGTTTTGGAATTATTTTTCATTGTGTAAGCTTGTAAAGCTAACCTAATTACCACATGAACATTTACCAATAAGGATAGAGGGTTTTATTTTACTGTTTGTGTTACCTGTTTATTAAAAACAATGTATATCTAGTGTTCTTTGGACATGTGTATGATAAAGCCATTGCTATTTACTAATGTGCCAGACAAAAGCAGGTCAGATAGTCGCCGGCGGCAGGTTAATTAGCTATTATCTGAATGTTTAATCATAGAAGGGATTGTCAAATCAGTTCAAAGACTAAACCTAAACCTAAACCTAAACCTAAACCTAAACCTAAACCTAAACCTAAACCTAAACCTAAACCTAAACCTAAACCTAAACCTAAACCTAAACCTAAACCTAAACCTAAACCTAAACCTAAACCTAAACCTAAACCTAAACCTAAACCTAAACCTAAACCTAAACCTAAACCTAAACCTAAACCTAATCCTAAACCTAAACCTAAACCTAAATCTAAACCTAAACCTAAACCTAAACCTAAACCTAAACCTAAACCTAAACCTAAACCTAAACCTAAACCTAAACCTAAACCTAAACCTAAACCTAAACCTAAACCTAAACCTAAACCTAAACCTAAACCTAAACCTAAACCTAAACCTAAATCTAAATCTAAACCTAAACCTAAATCTAAACCTAAACCTAAACCTAAACACAAACCTAAACACAAACCTAAACTTAAACCAAAACACAAACCTAAACACAAACCTAAACCTAAACACAAACCTAAACCTAACCCTAACCATAACCCTAACAGCTGACGTATATTGATTCCAGTGAGTGCAGATGAAGTCTAGTTAAACCCGATGCGCGATTTTAGCAATGAAAACAATGTACAATTTCAAACCTTACGGGTCTTTTTAAGTTATCTGTTTCAGTGGCGTCTCCATGTGTTAACAGCACTTAGCCTTGCGCCTTTACTCTCCTTTACCTACGTTCATCAGACCTGGGTTGACTCAGTGAGGTGATCTACGGACTTTCTGATTAGCAGTGGATCAGGGCGTTATTGTTTGCGGATTTAACTAACGTACACTAATTATATTATATTTTCCCAATCGTGCCCATGACACATGGGGCATATGAAGTAGAGTTAATCTGTTTCAGAGACCTCGGCACTATACGCAGCCGCCTACTCTTTCCCTAATATGATTTGGGTACCCATCAGAGCTGGAGGGACCCAGGGAAGTTATACATACTGAACCCTGCTTCGAACTCGATACTTTCGGTTTAGCAGCCTAGTGCTCTACTACTAGGTCATCCCTTCCCACACACTCATTACATACATAATATGTTGATATATAATCACATTTAAGCACTGGTGTAAAACTACCTCTATGTCGCCAACATGATACGAAAATACACAAGTCACATATAGGGTTTCTTTCAGGCGTCTCTCCAATGTGGCCAGGAGGTGGGCACTGTCTCCCCCACTCCCGACCACATGATTTGGGGTACATCTTTCAGCTCTTGCTTCTTCTGTCTAAGATAGTAAGTAGGTCGACCATATCATCGGTTGCTTATAACCTAGATACTTTGTTTGTCTGACTTTACATTGTTGTTTTCAAACGTAAAACATAAACACTTATTAGCGTGGCTGTCTAAAAGTACACTGTAACATCAATGAGATCCTGGACTAGAAAATTTTGGGGATGGGGTTAGAACCCACTCTCCCCGTTTATACGAATGTCCTAAAAACAATAAATTTACATTCGTAAACTTTGTATGGAACATATAGGCCCTACATTATAAATACACACACACACATATATATATATATATATATATATATATATATATATATATATATATATATATATATATATATACATATATATATATATATATGTGTGTGTGTGTGTGTATATGTAAATGTGTGCGTGCGTGCGCGTATGTTACCTATATATATATATATATATATATATATATATATATATATATATATATATATATATATATATATATATATATATATATATATAAATATACTTATATATATTTATATATATACCTACATGTATATCCCCGTGCCATGTGAAAATCAGCATGATTTATTACATGAAAAAAACCGATTCAGATGTTTGTAAGTAAACAAACACTCAGGCAGAGTTTATTCCAAGCATCTTTGCCCCCTCCAAAGAAAGTTTACCGCCCCTTTCCCCCTCCCCACCTCCCCCCCCCCGGAAAAAATCTGGATGAAATCATTGCACTCAGGTGAGGTTTTTAGTGCAGCTCTTAATTTTATATCAACTAGAGTCAAATGATTCGAAAAGACATGTCACAGAATTCTTATTTTCAAGAACAGCTGAGAAGGGCACATTGAAAATCCAAACACATTGCCTGGGCTGTAAGATGAGTAGGGCAGATTTTTGATGCACGTTGTTCTCTGTGTTGAACTTCAAAGTTAATCGACTAGTTTATTGTATATGTATATATTTATGATAAAATAATTATTCAAATAGGCTTAGTTACTTAAATATCTCTATAAAATAAAAATAAAAGAAACATGCTTTTTATTTATTTTTTATTATGAACCTTTTAATGAGACATTTTATTTCGTTAAACCAACAAATACCTTAAAATTTGTTACAGAGGACAAATGTACATACATTTATATGAAAAATATTATGCACTATCATCCTAAAATTGTGAACAAATTGTTGAAATGTGTAACTTAAAGCATGTAGAATATACTCGGACAAATATTTTGAAGGCCTTGCCATAAAGTTTGATAACAGAGAATAGTATGATAAGATAAAAACAGTAATCCACATTAGAATCTAATACAATCCTATCAGGTTTCAGATTCAACATCAATGAGTTGATGTGGAATATTGGATGTAGCAAAGGTAACGTTTTAGTGTTTCATTTTAGTAAAGGTAACGTTTTAGTATATCATTTTAGTATAGGTAACGTTTTAGTGTATCATTTTAGTAAAGATAACGTTTTAGTGTATCATTTTGTTGATTGTGATGAACAATGTGTTCAACGGCATTTAAAACTATAATAAAATAATAATTTATGAAATACGAGTACCTAATATTAAATTATCTATTTTAATAGATTCCAAACGTTATTAAATTTAGCAAAACTTTGGATAAACATAATTCTATAATTTCAAAACGAATCAGTTTGCTTTCCAAAAAGTTAACTTTCTGCGAAATTATACAAGAATGTACTGGCATTTGCATTGAAATTATGTGCATGTAAGTCCTAATATACAGGTAAATCTCTGAGTCTTTATTTGCAAGTAAAACAATTTCAGTCGTCAAAATCATCTGAACAAATGTTCAGCAAAACAAAAATAAAAAATAAAGTAATAATATTAAAGTATGTATTTTGATGTAGGTTATTCTCTAAGTTTAACCTCCAAATGAATGGGTTTCTCAACTATAAGCATGCCTTGGAAAAAAATTGACACATCTCCTCCAACTGGGGGCTCCGTCTTCTCGCTCAGTTCAACCTTGACCTTCCTCAACACATGGGCGAGTCCAATTTTGAGCTCGAGGTACGCCAGCCTCATGCCGATACACTGCCGAGGGCCGTAACCAAACGGTAGAAAGGTCATAGGGTCACGGTGTTTGCTGTTTTCTGGTGAAAATCTGTCCGGGTCAAATTTTTCGGGGTCGGAATAATTTCTGGGGTCTTTCATGATCTCTTCAAGTAAAAGAAACACTTTGGCGTTCTTGGGGATGGTTATGTTGCCGTGTGTTCTAGTTTCAGTGGCGATTCTGTTGACCAGTGGCACTGGGGGGTAAAATCTGAGAGTCTCGTTAATGACCTGTTCTAAGTAGGTCAGCTGACCCAGTTCTTCGTACGTTGGGGAGTCAGAGGTCACGACGGAGCAGATCTCTTGGTACACTTTCTACTGCAAGATAAACAACGTTTCATTTTATTAGCTATAGGTGTTTAACAGACTCTCGTTTTTTAATTTAGATTATTCCGTGGACATGAAAGTCAACACTTTTAAATTTAAGTCATAAGTCAGGTTATGAAAATGAAAGATTGCCTAATTTTACTTTTTTCGTCCCAAATAGCTGTAATTGGAGCAGCCTTTCGAAATTAAATAACTAAATAATTAATGCTTATTTTATCGAATCCCCACCTGTATATCCGGGTGCTTGGCCATCATGTAGAGACACATCTGGAATGTCGAGGCCGTGGTTTCGAACCCAGCGAATATGATCAGCATTGACTGGCCCACTAGGTCTCGTTCAGACATCGTTTTAGGAAGATTCTCACTAGACTGGTCACCTGATACGTCTGTCGACCCCAATTTCATAACAATTATTATCAGTTTTAGGCAAATATGTGCTGATACAAGATAAATAAGCTGCTTAAAGATATACATATATGAAACTATGCCCGAACAGTAATAGAGACTCACAATTCTTTAATGCACATGTTTGGCATTTCAAATCCAACTTAGAGTTTTCAACAAAAGAACTCACGTTCAGCGACCTCCTTGTCACCTGCCAGTTTAGCAGCAACCAAACTCTGCAGCAGGTCTGTTGGTTTGTTTGTACCCTGCCTCTCTAGCTCCACCCTCTGTGTGATCAGGGCTGATATCAGGTCATTGAAGTACTTGTCTGTGTTCTTGTTGACCATGTCAAACATACTTATACCTAATGTCTGTAGACAGAGGCAGTATCATTCAGTCTTATTACAGGGCTCATACAATATATATATATATATATATATATATATATTTATATATATATATATATATATATATATATATATATATGGGCTCTTTGAAAGAAAAGCTACTTTTTCAACTTTTATTCAATAGAAGTTTAAAAAGCGTTTTTATATTTCCAGACGTAATGGAAAAAAAATAGTAAATAACATTTAGCTCTAGTGATATGATTGAAATCACATCTACACATATTTTATTTCCAATGTTCACTAAGCTCACATTTATGCTTTTCCCTGTTTCACAAATCTTAAACTAAAATCTATTTTTATAAAGTGCCTTTTCCGTTTAGCGGAAATGGCTAAAAAAGTCGAAAGAAATCTACATCCAGAAGCTCATACTAATGAGGAAATTTCGTCTACCTGACACGGCACTTAAGTTCTCGTGTTTGCAGGAAGATAAAATACCACTTCCATTTACCAAATCTTACGAAAATTGTGATAAACCAGTACTTATAATATGTACGATTTTTTAAATCTAAATAATACAGTACTTCACGGCAGCGTGTTTACAAATATAGCAAAATTAAGATTTTTGTAGATTTTTCAAAATCGCGGTTTTGATTTTCGACACCAACACAATTCCTCTATACTCGGTATACGAGAAAATAAAAACAAAACATTCATCTCAGAATTTAATTAAAATGAATTTTAAGCATCTTGACGACGTTGGCTACAAAACAACTTTATTTATTTAACATGATTGGCAAGCTTTCTTTTAATACTAACTAATTATGTTTAAATTTCATCATCATCCTTTCCCGTTCTTGCCCAAGACATGTGGGGCAGATGAAGTAGAGTACATCTGCTTCAGAGACCTCGGCATGTGAAGGGATAGTGTTGTAAGCACTATGCACAGCCGCCTTTGTTGCTATAACGTGAGTTAGGTCCCATCAGAGGTGGGGGGAATCAGGGGCGTTCTACTGATTTTGAATCCTGATTCGAACTCGAGACTCTTGGGTTAGCAGTCTAGCTCGCTACTGCTAGGTCACGCCGTCCCATGTTTAAATTTTATAGAATTTGATCGAATATCATTGTATTCACAAGCACTAAAACAATCAAATTTTATTTTTAAATTAATATTTTGTTTTAAGTATTTTATTTTTATATTTTTAGCATAAACGTATATGTCGAAAACAAACGCAAAGTATTTACTATGTTAAATGGGTTGTAATTAAAAAATACTACTTTAGTGTTTAAAGGTTCTATACTCATAAGCACAATTTTTTTTTCTGAAATGTATATTTGTTACTATATGGTTGGTCAGAAAGCGGATTAAAAATGCCTAACTACAAAATGTTCTTTAGCGTAACAATTATACACGTCATTAATACATTACTTTCAACCTGTTACATAGTGTAAATATACACTTTATATTCAGCACATTAGACGAATCATACGACTGAACTTTTATACCTTTGACAGGAAAATATGCAGCTTCTTCGATCGAAATATAAGGTGCATTATCTTGTCATATATTTTCCCTCTGATGCGAAACATATTTTTAGAATAATAAGTGAACTCGTCGTCCTCCTTCCCCAGACAGTCTGTCCTCAAACCAAACGCCGATCTGGCAATGATCTCACTCGTGTACTGGGACGTGATGTGCTTTACTGGCAACAGCGTCTGGTTCCTGGCAAACTCCTCCAACACTGTGGCCAACTTTTGAGCTGATTCTTCGATGTTCTTGCTGATGTGTTTAAGTTTGCCTGTGCTGCAGTAGAGCATACATATGGACATATGGTTTCAATTATTTGACACATGAATTTCGGAATTATTAACTAAAAATAAGTTTTTTAAAAAAGGTAAGTTTCCTACTTTAAATTTCAGTTGTGAATTCTGTTGAATTTTTATAATTATAAGATTGGCGTTTCATATCTGTAAGTATTTTAACTGAACTGATTGCAACAAAATGTATATAAATTAAATATATGGAACAGAGAAAATAAAACCAATGTATTTTTTTCAAAATGTTGCCTGAAAATTTAAATTAAAAAACAAAAAACAGAGAAAAATAAAACTAAATTTTTAATGTCGCATGCTCATTTAAATTAAAATAAACCCCATTGAATATAAAAAAATAAAATGCAAGTAATAATTTTAAATGAAATGTCCAAAATTAGCCGGATACTTGATGAGTTGGTACCATAAAATTTAACAATGATGTTCGGCAATGGATCTTTAAAAAATCTCTAGAAATATGTTTTAAGTATATAGGCTACATTTATAATACCCACTTTGTATAAATTCTTCTATTTATGCTCTCTAACAATCAAACCCAACCTAAAAAACTTCTTTAAGCTGTACCTGAATGATGGAGTAGACAAATGTCGCACTGATCTCCACTTGTCCCCACCCAAGAAGAAAAGACCGGTCTCCATGGCGCTCCGGGTGACCAACGTCGACATCCGGTCCAAAAAATATTTTGAGTCCTTCACCATGACCTGTTTGGCCAGTTCAAGGTCACGGGTCACTAAGGTCAATCTGCCCAAGTTAAGCCCCACTGTGTCTCCATGCTGTGCTACCACAGTGGAGGTTAGGACTCTGAAAGAGAAAGAGTTACTTATTTAAGAGAACTTTCTACCGAGAGATATTTACATGTAAAATAAAGTAACAAGAGAAATCTATCAAAAGAATGTGGGTTTTCACAGAAAGGTAAACAAGTTATACTCATAAAGCTAATAAGTCTCAGTGTAATACCACCATTAACCTAACCTAACATAATCGAAAGACTCAAATGTTAGCAAATCGAACCTAACATTAACTTGACATAAACAAGTGAATGTTTTCTTAACTGTATTTCTAATCCTGTATTATTCTTTATACATTGTCCCAAAGTCTAACACATCACTCCAATTTATATTTTGTTTAAAAAACCTTATCTGTAATCTCCCCATACCATCCTTCTCTTGTTACCTACCTGAAGTCAGCCAAAGCCAGCCTGCCCAAGCTGATCTGCTTGACGCCATATTTCTCCCAGCTCTCCTTGCCAAGGAGGTTCGTGTACAGAAGGTACAGCAGGACAATGGAGGTGGCCAACAACAAACTCACTGACACGCTGGGTGAGAGGTCAGCGTCCATGTCCATAAACGTCATCTTTTAAGTTAATTTCTAAAACCTGGTATAGATGATTAAAACAATTTCTGAAAACAAAATTTATCATGCATATTAGGGCTAATGAACTGATGAGTTAAATAAAATGTAAAGCATTCACATAATACAGACCAAGTGGGCTACGAAGCAGCATAGAACGTGATAGCGACACGACATATTTTGGGCCTGTATATGAATATCATTTATCCCTGAATGTAGACCTGATAAATTCTGACCGACTGGAGGCTGGAGCTTAGGACATATCACACCTGTTAGACCTCTTAGTTCAACACTCATTTAAATCCCTTATGTTCAGTAGTCTCCCCTTAAGTTCAATTCTCTCCCGACACCGGATAAAGATTGATGGGTTCAGAAACATTGTAACTAACACTTCTATCGCTCGACCACACAGCACAATAAAGCTAAACTAAAGATATCGCTGTTACATAGAAAGTCGTCAACTCTCTATTCTATAGACTGTTTACAATGTATAAGAAAAGTTTTTTTTTTAAAATCTGATGTTTTACTGGGGAAACGATTAAGTCTAGAGCGAGCTTATCGATATGATTTACTAGCTTTCACAAGGAACAAGGTACGGGAGGTACACATCGATGCAGAAAAAAAAACACACTGAACCTCAATAAATAATTAAGACGACATAAAGAACTTTCTTTTCATTTAAACCGTATGAACATAAATCCGAATTATAGTTTTAAACTTAAACCTACCTTTAACCCTAAGCATAAAAACAAATCAAACGTTATACTCCGTATGTCTTTTTTTCCATCAATTAATTTAAGGTATTTATCTTCTAGATATGTAGAAGTTTGAACATTATACACAAAGCATTCTACATGTTCAGAGTAAAATTCTTCACTCGTGTTTGCATACAGCTTACACATTGCCAAGTAGAACGATTGTTTTAAGAAGTATGTTAGGAATGTATGTATTATAAGTTGGAGAAATGTCGTACCTTGTATGCAGGCAATCTTAGAGAGATTTTACATATTGCTAGTTACATCTACGTATAAAAACAGTGAAACACACACACACATATATATATATATATATATATATATATATATATATATATATATATATAGGCCTATATATTTAATCATATTTAGATTATATATTTTGCATACGTTGGCATCACTGGGCTTATTTGCCCCCCCCCCCCCCCCAATAAAGGCCGCCGGCCAGGTCGTAAGTGTTTCTTGATCTTCTTCTTCTTCTTCGTTCTCAATTGAAAATACGATGGAGGATTCAGACAACAAGTCCAACTTCGTGAACAAACCGGAATGTGGTCTCCAGTTTGGCAGGTGCCCCATATTATTTTTCCCTGAGTGGAGTGGGAAGGGGCCAGTGCCTGACTCGTGCCTGGACGTGCTACGTATTTTCAACAGCCTTGTGTTCGTGACCAATGCGAGCCACCTAGATGGAAGCATCAGGCTGTAGTCAGGCTTGAAGAAGGGTGGGTGCCGACATTCGACTCTTAGCCCTAGACACACCATACAAAGATAAGTGCCTCACTGACACCCAATGTTTTAGGGATTTATTTATTTACAATTAGAATACTTTCACTTAGGTAAATAAAACTCACCAGCATTGATTGTAGGCCAACTTGTAAGTAATTCTAAGAACTAAGTAATGTCAATCGCCCACACGTCTATCAAGCAAACTATAAACTTTTAAAGACAGACGTGTACTGTAATCCTGTATCAGCATAGGGCGGAAGGTCGTTCACCAAACGTGTGTTAAAAACGTGCAGTCGAGCGTTACAAAACAAGGTTACATGTAATTAAAAGCGTTGGGCCTCTGCGTACTTTAACGTGTAGTTAGAAGGTCATGTAGATAACTACGAAACGTATGTCACATACACATTGTGTTAACAGTTCGGTGTATTATATTTACGCTACAGTAAATTTAAGCAGCAGAGAACTAGAAACACTTATTTTAGTTTTGGAATTATTTTTCATTGCGTAAGCTTGTTAAGCCAAACCTAATTAACACAGGAACATTTATCAATACGGATAGTGTGTTTTACTGTTTGGGTTAACTGTTTTCTAAAATACGATGTACATCTAGTGTTCTTTGGCCTTGTGTATGATAAAGCCATTACTATTTACTAATGTGTCAAACAAAAGCAGGTCAGATAGTCGCCGGCAGGTTAACTAGCTCTTATCTGAATGTTGAGTTATTGAAGGGATTGTCTATCTTTAGACAAATTGGCGTAACCCTGTTGTATATTCTTGCTTTCTAAAACAGTAAGATGAGAAGGGCACATTGAAAATCCAAGCACAATGCCTGGGCAGTAGGTTGAGAAGGGCAGATTGTTTGATGCACTTTTTCTCTGTGTTGAACGTCAAACTTAATCAGCTTGTATATATGCATTTATATATTATGGATAAAATAATGATTTGAATAGACTTAAATACTTAATTATTTCTATAACAGGCAAAGAGAGCAGAAAACAAACAAATAAAACCAGAAGTATAGACCTCCACAAACAATTTTCTTTTATTAATATTAAGAACCATTTTAATCAGACCTTTTTATTTCGTTCAACCATTGACTATCTTTCCGTTTGTTACAGAGGACAAATGTATATACAGTTATATGAAGAATATTATGTAACAAAATAATCGTAAAATTGTGAACAAATTGCTGAAATGTCAATGTTAAAGCAATTAGTATATACTCGCACTAATATTGTAAAGGCCTTGACATAAAATTCGATAATACAGAATAGTATAATATAAGAAAAACATTAGAATCCAATACAATCCTACCAGGTTTAAGATTCAACATGAATGAATTGATGTGGATTATTGGATGCAACAAAGGTAACATTTTAGTGTATCATTTTAGCAAAGGTAACATTTTAGTATATCATTTTAGCAAAGGTAACGTTTTAGTGTATCATTTTGGTGATTGTGACGAGCCATGTGTTCATCGAAACATAAAACTATAATAAAATAATAATTTAAGAAATACGGTTACCTAATATTATATTAACTGTTTAATAGATTCCAAACGTAATTCAGCAAAACTTTGGATAAACATAATTCTATAATTTCAATACGAATCAGTTTGCTTTCCAAAATGTTAACTTTCTGGGAAATTAAACAAGAGTTTACTGGCATTTGCATTGAAAAAAATTGCATGCAAAAGCTAATATACAGGTAAATATCTGAGTCTTTATATTCTTTGCAATAAAGAAATTTATGTCGTCAAAATCATTTGAACAAATGTTCAGCAATTTTTTGAGAAATATATTAGAAAATAATGATAATATTAAAATATGTATTTTGATTTAAGTTATCCTCTGAGTTTAACCTCCAAATGAATAGGTTTCTCCACTATAAGGACGCCTTGAAAAAATGTCGACACATCTCCTCCTATTGGAGGCTCCGTCTTCTCGCTCAGTTCAACCTTGACCTTCCTTAAAACATGGGCGAGTCCAATTTTGAGCTCGAGGTACGCCAGCCTCATGCCGATACACAGACGAGGGCCGTAACCAAACGGTAGAAAGGTCATGGGGTCACGGTGTTTGCTGTTCTCTGGTGAAAATCTGTCCGGGTCAAATTTGTGGGGGTCGGGGTAATTTCTAGGGTCTTTCATGATCTCTTCAGATAGAACAAATACAATTGCGTTTTTGGGGATGGTGATGTTGCCGTATGTTCTGGTTTCAGTAGCGATTCTGTTGACGAGTGGCAATGGGGGATAAAATCTGAGAGTCTCGTTGATGACCTGTTCTAAGTAGATCAGCTGACCCAGTTCTTCGTAATTTGGTGAGTTTGATGCCACTACGGAGCAGATCTCTTGGTACACTTTCTCCTGCAAGAAAAAACATTTTTTTTAAAATTTAATGATAGTTTTTAAGAGATCGTCTTTGTTTTCAGATTGTTAAATTTTATGTTATTGTTTTAATTCATGTTTTTGGTAAAATTGACGTGAATATTAATATATTTTATGTGAAAACTGCCTGCTATGAATAGAGCTGAAGCTAGATTTAAATGTCAGGAATCAGGCAACACTTTTAAAGTAACATCCATTAATATGTTTCATCTGTTGTCTTGAGATATTGCATTACAATATTATAATCTCTAATGTGTATCATGGCTTTTACAGAGTTTTAAATACTTTCTTGAACAAATTTTCGACATAGAAGACTATTTAAAAACATAAATATATATAAATTATAAAACAAATATAAATTATTAAAACTCAAGATGCTACATAAGAATAAAAACCTTCCAAATTTTAATCTATGTGTATGGAGTTTGTGGGTATTAAAATTAGACGTAATACCTTTATGATCAATTTCCTAGATCCCTTAAGAAGAATTTTTGTTAATTTTTAATAACATTCTTTTTTTTTATTCAAATCGTCAAGTTTGTTTTTTTCCATCAAAAATATACCGATAAATGCTCTAAAATTTTACAAACATACTATATGAGATGGTCGGCTTGTAGCACTAAATTTTTTTGGATTTAAAGTTTCGAATTACAAAAAAATATTAAGATAAATTTTAATAAATGTATTCTATTCAAAATGTAATAACATCCCCACCTGAATCTCCGGATGCTTGGCCAGCATGTAGAGACACATCTGGAATGTCGAGGCTGTGGTTTCGAACCCAGCGAATATGATTAGCATCGACTGGCCCACCAGGTCTCGTTCAGACATCGTTTTAGGAATATTCTCCCACGACTGGCCACCCGATACGTCTGTCGAATACGAACATTTCATTACATTAATCAAGAATAACTAAATTCCTTTAGTAAATGAGATTCACACTATTTGATGACAGTTTATTTTATAAGAAGCTGATAAGTAAAATTGAAATAAAATGATAGAGTTTTCGTTAAAATTATATTTATTTTACCATCGAGATTAGGAAATGACATAAATTGACAGGAAAGTAAAAGAGATTATTAAAACTAATCTCAGCCTAGAGATTGCATTATAATTAATGGATTAATAAATCTGAACGTAATCCGAAGACTTAGCCTTTATTTTCCAACCCAAGTCAGAACCAATAATCTCATTATCATTTGAAAAAAAAAACCGTGTCCTAAACATTAAAAATAAAAGTATTCTTTTTCTCTATCTTAGCGAAAAGAAAATTAAAAATGTAAAATATTTTTACCTAAACAAATTTAGAGCTTGCAAATGAGGCTAAATCGTTAAACGACTCTGAGGCGAAAATAAAAAATTTAGTGTTTGGAAAGGTGAAAATTTTTATCCGCATTATTTTCGAAATTATCTAATTTTGTATACAAATATTTTAATATCTTTTAAAATAACACTACTGTGTATTGGAAAAAGAACTACAGAATCTTAACTTTTTGGCATTTTATTCTAGATTTGTTTATTTTATAAGTCTTTGTAATCAATCGTAGAGTTTACAACAAAAGTACTCACGTTCAGCAGCCTCCTTGTCCCCTGCAAGCTTAGCAGCAACCAAACTCTGCAGCAGGTCTGTTGGTTTGTTTGTACCCTGCCTCTCTAGCTCCACCCTCTGTGTGATCAGGGCTGATATCAGGTCATTGAAGTACTTGTCTGTGTTCTTGTTGACCATGTCAAACAAACTTATACCTAATGTCTGTAGACATTTATGCATGATTGTTTTAAAACTATACGAAAGCAAAAATATTAAATATTAAAAATGTAATTAATGATTTTTTAAGAAAATATTATATTTTAACAGTTAAATAGAAAGATAACGAAAAGCTAAACAGGATGACGATTGTTTGTAATTAAAATGATGCTATTTTGCAAAGGAGGAATAAAATTATGTATCTGATGACAATAATGAATTATTCGTCAAATGTTTTAAATGTTTTAAAAACAGTATAAAATAATACTTCACTGATAATGTTTACTTGAATCCAATATTTAACAAATTAATTACATAAGCCAAACATGTTTTAATGTACACCTACAATCAGAATGATAGATTTGTTATACGTTTACATTTTATGCCTTTCTTACCTTTGAAAGGAAAATATGCAGCTTTTTTGATCGAAATATAAGGTGCATTATCTTGTCATATATTTTCCCTCTAACGCGAAGAATATTTTTAGAATAATATGTGAACTCGTCGTCCTCCTTCCCCAGACAGTCTGTCCTCAAACCAAACGCCGACCTGGCAATGATCTCACTCGTGTACTGGGACGTGATGTGCTTTACTGGCAACAGCTTCTGGTTCCTGGCAAACTCCTCCAACACTGTGGCCAACTTCTGGGCTGATTCGTTAATGTTTTTGCTGATCTGTTTCAGTTTACCAGTGCTAGCAAAAGGCACGAATTAAAACCGACACTACACATGTGATCTCGATAAGGAATATATATATATATATATATATATATATATATATATATATATATATATATATATATATATATATATATATATATATATATATATATATATATATATATATATTGCAACTGTTTAATTATCTAGAGACATTCTTAAATATTAATAATTTCGTATTTACCTATCATTGTGCTTTTGTAACAGATTTACAACTTGTAGAATATGGCAAACCGTAAGTAAAGCTAAAGCACATCGCAACTATACATACAATGTTGTATTTATAATCAAACCAAAAAGAGAAACTAATATATACATATATATATATATATAATATATATATATATAAATACAAATTTGCTTACTAAACATGATTTTAATATTTAGTAAATAGAAAAAATAAAAAAATTATGAGAGTAAATCCTCAAAAAGAAAGTTTAAGGCCG